ATATTTTTAATAGTTTTCAATCATAAATGTGTAAATTTTAAATAAATGTTTCACCATAATAATTTTTGTAGTGAACTTTTACATAGCATGAAATAAAAAATGTAAATATAGAAAGAGGTTTTGACATAGGTTCGGCTTTGTTATTTCCAAAATATTCATTATACTTTTAAACAGTATGCACTGCATGCTGATACTATTTATTAGGATAATACCAAGAAGAAGGTCAAATGCATAATTTAATTAGATTTTTAAACTTTTAGGAACTATATTTTTTGATAATTTATTAAATAAAATATATTGTGTCATGATGTGGAGTTAACGTTGTAATATACAAGCATTTCATGTTGATGTAAAAAAGAATCGTAAACTATATCTTTATGTTAAATTCAATCTAATAATTATATACGAATACTATATAATATTGAAATGAATTATTCCAAGCTGTTTCTTGTTTGCCTTCTATAAATTGTATATATATATATATATATATATATATATATACACACACAATTTGTAACAACCTGTAATAAATATTCATAATAATATGTTTTCATGTTGCCCATAAATCGTTTTGATCACAATATTAGATTCATTTGTGTAATCACGGTAGAAGTGAATTTCATGTGTAATCTCATCATAATGATTTAGTAGAATACTTCAAAAAAATCATACAAAGATATCAAAAGGCTTGTTTTTTATTTCAAATACTACCATTTAATGGACATATGAATTGTTGATGAATCAATTCATATCTTTTGTTAGTAAATAGTAGATCTTATCTCTGTTTACTTGATTTGTCATTGAATAATTATTCATTACTATATGCAGAACTAATTCCATTAGTAGTTTTTGTAAGTTACATTAATCTCATTCATATAATTTAGAATAATATGCTTCAACTTTTTTATCCAAACAGGTGATAGACTATTTTAGAAGAAAATTCATGGATTAAGCCAAATGATAAGAAAAGTCATATCCGGACAAACAATGAAATTGTTTTTATATCTCTATCAGAATATAACACACTAGTGTTCACTAAGTACGTTATAAAAAGTCTTAGATTTGTACACTAAATATGAATTTCTCTTAAGCATTTTTGAATGTCTTATTATGTCTATCTTTGGTTGAATATATTGCTATTTTCCTATCAGCAAGTTCCAATCAGCAGCTGCTACGACCTGACACGACGAGACACGGTGATCTTAAAATATGGTAGCATTTGTCGAGTGTCCATGTTGACCTGCTCGGAACATTCTAGAGGCTTCCCTATTATGTGGAAGGCATGTATGAAACTCAGTCTTGTTATCGTAAGAGCAACACCTGTTAGTGTTCAAGATGCCACTTACAAGGAGTGCTTTCTCTCTCATAAGAATGCCATTGATGCCTTCCCCTTCACTGAGGGCGTTGACACTGGAATGATATTTTGTCCACTCTTGCCCCTCCGTGTGCTTATCTTTCACTTTTTGGCTCTAGCGGTTTCTATTTATTATAGCAGAAGGGGGGGCCAGAAGAATAGCAAAAAGGATGGGATCGAGCGTACAGGGATTAACCAAACAGGTAACCAGGGGCTAGATTTAACCAGGAGCGGATTCTACTAGCTTTTTAAGACGTCTAACCTTTACAACTGCATGGCGGTTTCTACTAGATTTCAGGCGTCTATCCTTTACAACTGCATGGCGGTTTCTGCTAGATTTAAGGCGTCCCTGCTTTACAACTGCATGGAGGTTTCTACTAGATTTAAGACGCCTGCCTGTGCTTTACAGTTACATAGAGGTCAGGTAGTATCTGGATAGATGTTGGCCTCGTATGTGGCATCGTAACTCTGGTTACGAAGAGATTTGACTTGGGTAGAGAGAAGGGTGGAGCAAACGTTGGTCTCAAGCCAAGAGAATGGACGAGAATCCAAAGCTCACGAAGTGGGAGGAAGGCCACTGCTGCTGCTGCGTCCCAAGCCCCACAGTTATGATCTAGATTTTTAACCTTTGAAAAGATCTCGATCATGGCTTTGTAGCTAGCAAGCGTAAGGGATTGTGGAGAGTTGCCCAAAGCTTTCGAGAAGGATGCCGGATTTTTTTTTAGCATCCTCTCCTCTCCCTCTAGCTTGGGTCTCTTCATCACCCATCGATGGTAACGTACACTCGGATTCATGTGGACCGGGAGGTTGATTTATGGCCCTCACTTTTGGCATCTCCTGTCTGTATATGTGGAGCAGTAAATAAAGAAGGTCGATTGTGATATTTTTTTGAACAACATGACCTTAATCATAGGAGTCATCTGTTTTTCCAAATCGGAGTAGAAGAACTGGTTGAATATTGTATAAAGCGCAGGAGGTCATTCGTGTGGCGTTATGTATTTTTCTGTCTATTCACCACAAGTCATTCGTTCAAGGTGAATGAATGTCTTGCAACTTGACGACGGACATTTCTATGGGATGGAGAACGACATCTTGAAGATTAGCAGGGGTAAACGCCAATTACGATGCACTGAACATTGGAAGCAACGTAGAATCCACCGCTGTGTTCGTTCTCCGAGGATGTCCACATACATACTCCACAAGCCCCAGAGAGTTTTATTGCGAAGTTACTATCTAGAGTAAGTACTGAATGGAAATCAGACCTATTAAATGTGTCGAGTGGCTCCTATTTTAAACCTTACAGCCATTTAAGAGTTATAGAATATTCTGGACTCATCCATATCGCCGTGGACGTGTAGCCTATGAGCTGTAACCCGTACATTCAGGTCTCTTTTGCAGGCAGTAACCGAAAACGACCGAGATCAAGGCTTCTTCACTGAGTTCACTGCCTTTCGCTTTCCCTCGTATGGATGACGGGACAGGCCAACTTCCACGTAGAAGATGGCATCGAATTTCAACTCACTCCACAGTTGCAAGTGAGCCGCTGAATCGAGGGGCATTGTGATGGATCATATAGGCGATTTGAGAAGGTGCGTGGAATATTGTAAAAGCACCATCGTGGAGTACAAGGAAGAGAGGCACAAAATCAAACGCACAAAGGGAAATGAACCACCTACATATGGAATTGAGCTATGGAATCCAACGACTCGGCTGCAGGCGTTCGAACGATATTCAAAGGTGCAACTTTGAATATATGCCGATCAATTGTTGTAATCAATCACTGCGGTTCATGCACATTTCCTGTAAATGGGCTATGGAGAATAGAGGCATGCTATAAACGATGTCGAGAGGGGTGGTCCATCAACCTCGGTGATGACGTAAGAGTGGGGGATCGAGTGATTGAAGTACGACATACCTTCAATCCTTTAGTACTCAATAATGTGGTAAATGAAGCAGTGGGATATGTGTAGCAAAAATAATGGAAGACCCATCAAATCAAACCGCACATGGATGAATCCGAGCGAGTAGGATGTGGCTAGGCCCCATAGCATCACAATAGCGAATTTTAGCTCTCTTTTATTGAAAGTGTAACGATTTTTCCACTACAGACATACTCTTATCTATGCCTTGAATTCATACTCACGTACTTCAAGGTCCGTACTATCTATGGCTTCGTCCTTCTTTTATTTAATATATTTTCCTCAAGAGATACAAAAATTGGGAGAAAGGAAATTTTTTAGAGCGAGGAGAGTCGTGCCCAAGGGAACTCCAAAATATTGCTAATAGGTCCATCATGCTGTAGACGAACCCACAACACTGTTTGATGATTTTAGAGCTCTCGTGAAAGCCTTTTCTTAATCCATTTTCCTCTTGGTGCACATTAATTATTCGCTGACGTTTTTGTAAATGGGTACTTGCCTGGCATATGAGGAGTGGTATGGTAGCTTGAAGGTTTGATTCTAATGAGGGTCGTTAGTAAGAATGCCTCCATGCGACGGGAATGTAGTGACTTTAAAATAAATCGGTTTATTTACTTCTTATATCCTACTCCTGTCGCAATAAAAATACAGTTGCAAATCTGAGACAAAGTAGAATACGGAAATTCAAATGTTTGTTGATCCGCAAGGAGAAGCTACTCGAAAACTCACCTCAGCGCTGCCAAGATTTAGAGGGAAAGAAGGGCAGAAGAGGAGGAGGTGGGCATGATGCAAATACGCGTGGAGTCGTGCGAACAGTGTGAGAGCACAAGTCATAATAAATTATGAACCACAGTATTATGCTATCGCGGGGTCTGCGTTCATTATTTCTTTGATCTTCCCCGCTCTATTCCGCCACTCTGCCTTCTGAATGAGGTTCAAATTCTGCTTCAATGGATTCTGCGGAAGAGTGTGGACGAACCTGCGAACCTGCAATAACTTGTCGGCATCGCGTCCAGTCAGTGAGCCAGTCATCTGCCACCTGGGGCCTGAGGTGTGCTCTCTATGTTTGTCGCACTCTCACACGCTTTTAATCTGTCTGCACCCGAATCGGAGAAGCGCTGCCGTAAGTGCGACTGCATTAAGACTTGGGGCTACACTAGAGTGGAATTTGTAGGAAGTGACTCTCGATTCTTTGTAATGTAGGCCATGGCAGCCAGCTAATCTAGGACAAGAGAAGTTTCGGGGGCTGTAGGCGGTCTGACGACTCTTCATGCACAAGATGAAAATCCAGGGCGATGCTCATAAGTTCATAGACGCCTGCTCGAGTCTTGAGGGAAGGGCTGGAGAAGGAAAGCAGCGAGAAGGTGCTCGGGCCTCAAACAAGCGAGTGGGTGGGTAGTTTGGCCGAATGGACTGCTGCGAGGGCTCTGCCGGGCTGGAGTAAGGCTGGAAGTAGCAGCAGTCGTAGAGGCGTTTTCAAACAACCTCATGAGCAAGCAATCGAGCCTGTCTCGCATTATGATTATGATGAGATGAAAAGGAAGACCTGGAGCAGGGGGCCGGGTTTTGGTGCTCCGAGAGCCCGTCTGTCCGCAGTGGGCGAGGCGGTTTCGTGATGTCAGCAGCGAGCTCGCGACCGAAACTACCGTTTGAGCGAGTGGCATCGAGATTCAAGGAGCCGAAGGAGTAGCCAAGCCGGATAAGAGGCGGTGGTGGTCGTCGTCGTCGTGGTGGGGACACGCAAGGTACGAGTTGGGCCGGGTCCCACTGACCTACAGCAGGAAAGAGTTGCAGAACTCGCAGTTCGGGTATAAAATGTCACTGCGAACTCAGAAACCTGACTGAGCTGCGCATCAGTAGCCCATCCGTCCTTGCCATCCATTCCGCTTACACACTCTGCGCCTGACGAGCCGCAGGTGTGCAGTGCAGACTTACAGCGACACACAGTGGCCCCGGCTCTCACTCACTCACTCACTAACCATTCATTTGCCTTCCCACTGTTGCAAATCAGCAGCATCAGCTCTCCCCTTAATCAAGCTGCTGCTGTCGAGCGGGAGCTCAGCGGAACACACTGAATAATCGCTGCTCCCTCGGCTCGGCTCGGCTCGGCTCACAGCTACCTCTCTCCGAGACTGAATATACAGACGAGAAGAACGCAGCTCTCGCACCAGCACCTCGCTCTGAGCTCGATCGTTTTCTTGTCTGCAGCAGCAGCAGCAGCAGCTCAGCTCTGCATTGCACAGGAGGAGGCCGAAACCATCGAGCGAACGAGGACGGGGGAGCTCGGAAAGCCCCGGTGAACTCAACCATGGGGCGGCTGGTACCGATGTTGGTGGTCATCGGCATGTGTCTGCTCGCCGTGAGCCCTGTGGTCCACAGTGCGTGTTTTCCCGCAATATTCAATTTCGGAGACTCGACATCCGACACAGGAAACCTGGCTGCCTCATTTCCTGGTTTCACGCCGGCTGAGTATCCTCCCTACGGCGACACTTACCCCGGAAAGCCGTCGAACAGATACAGCGATGGTCGACTGCTTATTGACTTCATCGGTACAGCACTTTCCCTTATCTCCTCTCCTGTTTTCTGCCTTCATCTCTCAACCTCTGTACCAATGTCGTATCTCAGCTCGCGGCAAGTCTCTTGCGCATTTCACGTTGTTTTCGCCCGCTGGACGAAGAATGTTCGCTCTCCGATGCTCTTTTCAAATTTCGTTGGCACGCTATAGGTTCCCATCCTCTGACGGAAAAGATCGAGCAAGAAAGGCCAATGGCAAGAGTGTCAGAGTTGCGGAATATGACCTACTAATTCTCTCCCCTACTAGCGAAGAAACTAGTCCACTCAGTAGACTCTGCGGTTTGTTCCCGGGGCCGTTCCCCGAGCTCGATGCGCATCTGCGAGCTGTGGAGTTGCAGAGGACAATTTGTTTCTTCGGTTCACTCTGTTTCGAAGCGGGCTGTTTGATTCTGTAGACGGAATGCTCTTCGTCGGTGGGTGTCGAAGTGATCATGGCTGGCTTGCCTCCTCCTCAGCTTGCGATGAGAAGCTCGTGGCATACACGGCTCTCGTTCCCTCTCTGACAGCGCAGTTCGCCCGTAGAGCTTTCGCTACTTTTATCCTACGCAGTTTCCTCGATCTTCGAACGTGAAGAATTAGCGCTACAAGCTGTGAGCTTCTTGCCGTCGACCTGATCCTCCCTCTGCCAATGCAGCGATTTGCATCGACCCCTCGAAACTCGTCATCAGCAGCGCATTCTGACCCCTCGTTCTGTGGTGTTATGATTACTCTTTTCCGGTGGCTTTCTCCTTCTTCTGACATCTCGGGAGACTCAGCTCCCTGTCTGCCCGGGTGTCATTAGTCATCTCTCACCGCCATGAAAGGCTGATCACCCTTCCCTGCCTCGAAGGAGCAGGGCCTGGCGTGGACAACGACTCATTGTCAATTCTCGCTTGCTTCTGTTCCTGAAGCTCGATGTGCATTTCTACTCACGTGGACGTGGTGAATGAAGCCGTACGTGCATCCATGACACGGCGAATCATGACTGTGTCTGTTTTACTCGCCATGCCTTGGCGTGCTCTCGAATGTCCATCATAACAACGACGATAATAAGTGAATGTATTTGTCAATGACGACGATGGCTAACGACGGTTTTTGTGCTGTTTCCAGCTCAAGCCTATGGGCTGCCTTTCGTCGATCCGTACCTGCAGTCGGTGAACTCGGAATTCAACCAGGGTACGAACTTTGCTGCTGCTGGATCCACAGTTCTTCCCGTGACGTATCTGAGCCCCTTCTATCTCGACATTCAGCTGCGCGAGTACCGCACCTTCAAGACCAACGTGCAGAATGTGTTCAATCCTCCTGATGGCTCCGTTCCGGACGAGGGTACGTACTCCAATGCACCAACGCAAGTGGATCCGATTTCGGCCGGCCGTATCGAACGATCGATTCAGCTTGTTTGATTATGGTCTGAGGGAAATTTGATTTCTGCTGACATCACTTTCTCCTCTGTGCTTTCAGCTAAGAAGGCTCGGCTTCCTTCACCGGAGGACTTTTCGACAGGATTGTACACCATCGCCTTGGGAGGCAATGACTTCACATATGGTTATACCAAGGGCAAGACGGTTTTGGAAGTCAGAGATTACCTTCCGCAGGTCATCGGGAACCTCACGGCTGCCGTCAAGGTGAGGAACCTTGTCCAAATTTGCTGCAGCTGGAATCTCTCACGTGGTCTGTCTCACGATGTCTCTGAAGTTTATGAGGATCGATTTGGTGCATCTCAGGCGCATTGGGGTGCCCTGCCACTCAAGAATTGTGGAGTAATTTTTGTCGTGGAATTGTTTCAGAGCTTATACGATTATGGCGGACGGAATTTCGTGGTCTGGGACATAGAGCCTCATGGTTGCCTTCCTTACACGCTGACCTTGATCCCCCACACGGCTGCCGATTTGGACGCCGATGGTTGCCTCATTGCGTATAACGACAATGCCAAGTGGTTCAACGAGCAACTCCAAATCGCCTTGGCTGATCTGCGTGCCAATCTCACCAACGTGAACCTCTCCATTTTCAACACGTACAAGCTCAAATCGGAGCTCATCTCAGCGAACACCACCACGAATGGTATGTTGTATTTATCTCTTCCCCCTCGAGATTTAAGCTTTGCTGCAGTTTTCATGACAGGTGCTCCCTTGAGGTGAGATGAGATGCCGCAGTACCGACTGAACTCTGTGGTGCCTGGCAGGATTCAATTTCACAACGAAGGCGTGCTGCGGAGTGCCGAACGAGTTCAACTTCGACCTGCGTGTGAATTGCGGTCTGAGCAACGTCATCGACGGAGTGAATCTGACTGCCGTGAAATGTGACGATCCCAACCAATATCTAGTTTGGGACGGAGTGCACAACACCGATGCTGCAAACAAATACCTGGCGAACCAATTCTTCGGTGGAAGCTACTTCGACCCACCGTTCCCTGTGACTCCCGAGGGCTGCACCCTCTCTGCAATCTAGAATAATTAGAAGTAAATTAGAATGATCCGTGCCCCTGTTATCGACAACTAAGAACTGTATTTACGACCATCGTCAGCATCTTCACCATCGCCGTCATCGTCTCGAATAGGAACTAGTATTAGTAAAGTCACATTGTTTAAGCGATTCTTTCGTAGAGATTAAAAAAGGTGTTTGGGTTCGTCTACACTCTTCAAACTAGAGCTTGTGGAAGAAAGTAGGACCCTGAGTAGTAGATAGTTGGAAAGTTTTGTTCCTGGAGTTCGATGTCTCATTTCATGATTTGGCTGGTCACGAGTAGAATTTGAGATAGACGTGAAATTCATTTGGCCATGAGCGAATTAGTCAGCTAGGCAAGTGAACAACCCCTGCGACATGCCAGTGGTGTTACCATGGCCTGACTGTTTGACACACAAATTCATCATATAAAGTCTTTATCATTTTTTATTCCATCATTGCTCGACGGCCCGTGTCCATGCCATGACAGCTCGAGAGTTGGCTGGTCATAAAGTCCACTGTCTCGCCATGTCTCTCATGTGCAGTAATTAGTGAGCTGGGTGGGGCTCAATCAAACATCGTGTTGTTGGTACCTGTACCTTCCGGAATGAAGGACCGTCCCTCGCCCTTCAGCAGATTCTAGTTATGCCTTCTTCAAGACCTTCTCCCTTCCCCCCACTCCACAACAGGACGGGCCGTGTTGTGGTCACGTACACGTAGGGCATGTCCTTCGCTATCTGCTGCATGGGCACTTTCTCTCGGAGCACATGATTCGGCACTGAAATTCTCAAGAGAATCACTCACGGGACCCACACGTCACGTTCGCTGGAATGTCAGCCTTGCTTAATGGCCTTCTGCAGCGGTAGAGTTGCAGCTAGGACAGTGAATTCATCCTACCCCCACTCACTCGTCAGTCCTAGAGTAGACCGGGCAACTGTGGGTCATGAAGAGGGTGGGGACTATTAAGGGCCCCCTTCATTTCAGACAAACAGCTTTGTGTCTGCTGTAGCTACGAATTCCCTGTTCAAGGGCGACGATCTCTGGGAAAACTGCTCACTTGAATTCACTGAATGAGAAACTGCCGAGACGCAGCAGCTTGCAGTGTTGCATGAGGCAAAACTTGCCCAAACTAGTCCACAAATAAGTGAGGTTTTCCACCCAACTCCTGCACTCTACGCTACATTCTTCTTTCGATGTATTTGTGCATATTTAACATCCTACTGCATGGAGTATCGTGGGCATACTTTTCCCTGTGCGACTTGATGGGGCCTTACCTTTCTTTTTGCCACATCACAAGGAATCCATTTTCCGACATACCTTCCGCACCGTTGTCAATGTGTTAATAATGTTCGATTGACCAGGAGGTCAGAGAGCACGCAGCCCTTCATCTAATCCTCCAGAGGCATCATCTTTCCCAATGTGGGCACTTAGATGCAGGCTCGCTGCATCGCAATCAGTGTACTTTGAGTTTCCGGTGGGCTGTGGGATATGAGATCTCATGAGGTTCCTTGAAGTATCATGGCGTAGGTCCCTGTCGACCAGCTTTCGATCCATCAAGTCGCCCTCTTCATGACATACCTGCAGGTTGACGATGCAGGCGAGGAGCACAAACAAACGTACTGCTTTTCGCAGCCGGTCAGCCCGTTTGGGTCAGAAAGCGGAAGAGGGTGAGGGTATGGACATGGTGGCAGGCCTTTTGTCGACCAAAAAGAGAGCTTTGAAGAAACAGTCTTTCAAGAGTTCACAGGTTCACCGGCTGTGATACGAGCCAACACGAAACTAGTAGTGCTAGCTTACACTGCAACCAGTAAAGTGAAGAGAGGCTACTCCTACTGCTGCTGCTGCTGATCTGTTCTGAGCACATCGGATCACACTCAACCGTTTTGACATGACAAGATCACACCACATTCCTCCCCTGCCTTCCTTCCTTCACTTTCCTTTCAGGTGAAAACAGTGATATTTTACGAATATTTTACAGACCGAATATTTAACCTTCGCATTTTCACCGAGTAAGTGCTGTGCTGTGCTGGCCGCAAGGGAAGCCAGTTAAAAACACCCAGCACATTCTGAAGAATTCCTTCTTCTGAGTTGACTGATCGTTTGAGCAGTTGTCATTTCCAGAGGCTTGCAAGTCGTCCCCCCGTCCCTTCCGTTCCCTTTCCTCATCCTCGTGACCCTCAGGACAACGACCTTTCACCATCCCTACCTCATAAAGGGAGTACTCAAGCCGAGATCCTTGTATTTGTCCAGTTAAATGCGAGTTGTATTTTTGGGCATTGCCTGGTCGCTGGATGTTGTGAGAGAGGGCGGCCCGGCCAGACAAGACAGCCCAGCCCAGCTCGACTGAGCCAGCGTGCATCCTGCTGGATATGGATATGCGGATGGAGGCAGTAGATGACAGGTAGAACTCTTTCGTTCACAGCTCACGGAGCCGATGCTCGAGTCAAGCGATGGAGACCTCCTGCTCTGACTACTGCATCGGCCTCGCTCGCAACTTCACCGCTGCCCCGGCCTCATTGCAGGGAAACGTTGGTCAATTTTCCATGCTGTATCTTTTTCCTCCGCATGCTCGCTCAATCGCTCGCGCTCTGCTGAGGCACGAGGATGCAACTCGGCGGTGCTCTCGAAGACTAGGTTCTGGAGGAAAGTACGACCGCTCCAGCAGGCCGCCAGAATCCTAGTCTAGAAGAAGGCGTCCGAAGGGGAACAAGCAAACAGCAAGCTGTGGTGCAGATTGACAACCTCTACCTCCCCATCTCGGCAAAGGCATTTACCCGAGAGGGGCCCGAGTCACCGCTACGCCGACTCTCTGAAGAGCAGTAGGTGGGGTGCTCGGCCCCTCGCATGCCCAATCAGCCATCCCGCTGACTGGGCAGCCAGCCTGGCAGCGTGGGCCGAGGCCGGAACCTGGAGTCGGGACTGCCGGCGATCAGTGTTTCCCGGCCCCCGATAACCTTTCCGAGATCGGCGCTCGAGGGCCGCCGGCGCTGCCCACTCGAGCCGGGCACTAGTGTCCGTTCGGCGCCCCTGCGGAAGAAAACGTTCGCCAGTGGCCCCCACGCAACGGTCCTGCGGGGGCATCCATCGATGGATCGATCGACAGGGAGGGCGAAAAGATGAAAGCCCCGTCATTAATGCCCCCCCTTCCCCCCCGGGCCTGCGGGTTATACCCCCACGACCTCGTCACCTCGAACAGGCCAGGGGCGGGCGAGCTCGGCAGAGAGCGAGCACCAGGCCGGCCATCAGATCGTGTCTCCGCCCCGGAGGAGGAGGAATGCATCCAAGAGTTCATCCAAAGTTAGCCGATCTTTGTTCGATTCGCCTCGTCCGTCTCGAATCCGGGATCCCGATTCGCCGAATGCCGAATGCCCCACCCAGGCACTTCCAGAGAACTCGGATGGACATGGGATGGGGACTGTCAGCGGGAGTAGCATCTGTGACAGCCATCGTCTCCGCATAGGCTTTTGGAAAGCACATCCGGTCGACCTAGAGTCAATGGCCGCAACCCTAACCTCGATTGCGCGCATCTCTGTCACGGTGGAGGAGTGAATTTGAGTAAATCCCCGTGGCCACGTTACCGGGCCCTCCTGCTGCGCGAGAATCGTAGAGAGACGATGGAGTCATGTCTCGGATCCGGTCGCCACCTTTTGGGCCCTTTTGGCCAGACCATGGCAGCCCCACAGAGCTACCATTCCGTTGGGGGAGCCGATGTCCAAAGCTTGGTGCACATGCCTGCCTGCCTGTCAGCGATGGCAGATACGATACGGGACAACTTGAGGAGGGTTGGGAGCCCGCGGACAGGGCGAGCAGAGGAAGGGATGCGCAGGGTAGGAATCACCGTCGACGAGAATCACGGACCGAACGAAGAGAGGCGGTCGGAGCATTTGACCCCTCGCTCGCTCGCTCGCTTGGCCAAGCTTCTAAATCCGGACGGCTTTTGAGTGGATTTCGTGCCTCGGAGCCATGGAGCTCATCTCGTTCTGGCAAACAACAATCTCTGCCACCGGTTAAACCCCGAGGAGGTATTTGTTCGTCGATGCCCGAGTGAATCGACTGATTTCTTATTTTCACAGCTGGAATTACACGGGGTCATGGTGGAAATCTGCAGGTGGAAATTTCTGTCCACATTGCCGTTCTTGAGTCGATGAGAGCAGAGCGGCCGAGCTCGCATACGTCTGTCCTGTGTCCTCGGCCGATTGCAACAGGTTTCAGCTTCGCCTGTCCTGCTTGCTACGTCGCATCATGGAGATCTGATCCACTTGGACGAACCCCGATCGCGACAATTTGCTCGTCTCCTTGGCGCATTAGCACGTTCTGGATCTGGTTGTAGCGGTGTGTGGAATAGAGGAGAGGCCCACCACCACCACCACCACCATCACCCGTCACTTCAGGTGTTCGTTCCGTGGATCGGGCTTTGCCTGTACAGCTCCAATGGCAAGCCACCGTGCGCGTCTGTCATCAATCCAGTCCACACGAGTTCGATCTCGCCTGCACGCACACCTCGTAGCACGTCTGCGCAACTTCACCTGAGCTTCGAGGCACACATCAGAAACCCAATCCCCGTTGCGTACGATGCGCAGGCAAGCACATTTGATTTCACTTCCAGACGTCACAACGTCGGGTACCGAGGAAATTCATCTGGACCACCGAAGGTTATCGACTTCGCCACACAGAAACTGGGCGTCCGAATTCCTCTGGAGGGTACAACACAAATTCGCATCGATTCAGGAGGGTCGAATGTAGCAACACGTCCTCCTGCGCTTGAAGACCGAACAGAAATTCCGAAACCGAGATCTGGTCTTGTACTTTCGTCGACGGTTTTCGATGGCATAGATCTAGAGCACTGCGCGGTTAGTTTTCTTTCAGCGAATTCTGGTCGCGTACTTGATTGAAGGCATCCATACCCCGAAGTTTCGATAGCTCACTGTGACAGTCTTTGAGGTTGCTCTGATCGGTGACAGTTTCCTTGATAACTCCACTTGTTGTCATGGAAGAACTAGCTACGGCCTACAATCAACATCGATAGTGCAAACAGGCCGCGCTCGATCCTGATCCTGATCCTGATCCTGATGGAACTCCACACCCACCATCCATCGATCCTGTTGCGAAGATTGCATCAGAGAGCATGAACATCCCACGAGCAAATTGTCCAAGTGGTCCCGAGATGTAGGTCACTAGAATCAGGCCAATGCACCATCACTCAAATCTCAAATCTCATATTTATATTGCTATGCAAATGGAACGAAGTCAAGTCCGTCCCGGTAACAAATTCTAGCTGCCCTGTAGACCACGACCGACCGACAAAATGACCGTTATGGTCATTCTGTCACGAACTTCTTCATCTGGATGAGATGAAAACGACAATTGATATTTTGTTAAAGGTGTGCACAAAGAAGACCCTGCACAATTTGGAGCCCTGAACAAATTCTTGTGATGATGACAGGAGGCATTTTTTTTCCCACCACATATTGCTATGGTGGGAAAGAGAATGCCTCCTATCCTCAGAAGAATCTCGTGCCCGAGCGCGATAGAGATACAAAAGGTATAAAATGACAAAGATGAAAAAGTAGAAGCCCCTCCAAACATATTAGATACTTCGTTCACCTCGAGGGCCTACGTATCCCCACCCACTCAAAATAAAGGTCTCATCGGGCGAGGTTTTGAGACAAATTACGCCTTCATTAACTGTCCTCGGAAGGCACCCGCATGCATGAAGGGCTAGTTTAGCTCCTTCGGTCCCTCAAGGTAGTCTTCTTTTGCTTTGTATCATGCGGTGGGGGTATCACCCCTCTCACGTCACACATGTGACTTTAGGAATCTGTGACCAAGTTCAGTGATAGTTCTCACGAGAAACCTCTAGAAACCGAAGCTCTAGAACGCTTTCTCAGATAAAGAGAAGGATCTCAATAATACAAATGAGGCCTGTCGTACTTTTATTACTGGTTGATGTTGCGATCCAGAGGAGATCAGTGGATTATGAACTGGGCTGTACTTACTCCTTTTCAGGGTAATGTAACTTCGGGAAGTATTATCACCGTGGAGAACTCGGAAAGTCTAGTCAAGGTCTCCATCTCTTGCGCCTTCAACTTCCTCTGTTTGCCCTTCACTGCACATTCGAGAACCCCAAATAGGAGCCAGAAGTGTCTCTGGAATCTCGGAAATGTACCGGGATAGAGAAGGGATAGACCTTTGGTATCTGATCGTAACAGATTGACGTCTGTCTTCAACGAGCAAGAAATTTATACCGAATATTCGTACATCCAGACATACAGTAGATTCAACAGGCAGAGATGTTTGTGTAACGTCAAGGCGAAGATGAGTTTTATTGACTGCGTCACTTTCACGGGGAAAGTCCAACCTGGTAACTTGGGGTAACTCTGGTAAATGAATTCCTGAGGATGGACTCTAGCCCGTCTGCATCCTGAGTAAGGTGAATTGACAACAATCGCATCACGAAAATACACAGAAGGCCCAATCAATCTGACAGATGAGGAAGTACTCGCCGATCTGCACGATCTTCTCTGTGAATTTCAAATCGACTGGAATGGCGATTACAACAACTAGAATCAGATATCTGTAGAGAGAGAGAGAGAGAGAGAGAGAGGGGACTAATGTGTTGACTGCAGTTCATGTACATTGTTGATACATCAAGGGCAGCGCAACGGCCTGTTTGTTTATGGGAGGTCCAGCAATGACTGAACGGGTTCGTTGCAATCAACGACTGTACTTGACCTGTAGCTCCTCACTAGTCTTACGCCACAATGATGTGCTCACTCCAAACGAAAACAAAGAAAAAGTACCGAGTAGCAGTGAGAAGTCCGATCGGCAGAAGTTACAAATCTCTCATATTCCATTCCTCTCGCTAAGGACTTGTGATCTGATTCGGATGCATCAGGCCCAGCGCTGAGCATGCCCCACCCACGTACCTGTCTCACGACAGAACAACGAAGTCCAGCCCCTCGGAAGCTAAGTCAGAGCACTTGGAAATGCTCTGACTTAGCTTTTGCCTCAATCTGAATGATGGAGGACCCGGTCAACTCCTCACGAGCTTCTTTCCAACAAACAGGTTTGCATGCAGAGCGCGGACCTCGTGGCGCTGGAAAGCGGAGATCGAGGTCCCGTCTCAAGGAATCGAGTGCAAATGAACCAACAAAAGTACTCAGTTGCGTTCTCCCATAGTCCAATCCATCGCTGCAATACAGAGTACTAGCTTCGCATCGACGAATCCCCGGGAACCAACTTGAATTGCTTTGCGAGATCAAGTGCAACCTCGAATAACCGTCCCAGAGACTCCATGCGGCCATTCATGCGTTCACTTTGACAACCATACGTACATTCTCGGTATCAACCTGGGAATCAAACCGGATGCTGGAGCTGACTGAGGTCAGAACAGATCGCACCAATCGGACAGGCTATAATCGAGAGCCTAGTCTGGATCCGGGTCTAGGACTAGTCCGAAGGGAATCACGAAGGTCGGATGAATCCAGCACCAATCATCAAGTGGGATCCAAAAGAAACCATTTCTTTAAGGATGATGAAAGCTCATCGCATGGACCTCGACGAAAAGCGATGGCTTTGTCCCCACGCTTCGGAGGAGGGAGGGGAACCTGCGAGATGATTAAAATTGCGAGAGCCGATTCGGGCGATACATTCGGATTCAGAGGCCCGACCCTCGGCAGCCCGTGGCATGGCGACCTCGGCCCAGCCGTCGTGATCACCACGTGCAGAGGCATCACCCCGCAATGGGAGGCCCGGGGACCGCCGGTCGCGGGCCCGACCCGCGGGACACGTCGCCGGCGTTGTCCGGAACCGCGATTTAGCGCGCGGTTCGAACCAGTACTCGGCGGTCGCGCACGTCACCCGACAATGTCGCCGCTGCAAGGCTCGAATCGTGCACGCAGCAGCAAAAGGTCGATCGGGGCATGGTATGGCGGGCGGGCGAGCAGTGCTCTAGTCTCGGGCTCGAAGGTCCCAGTCGGGTGCCTGCCCCGTGGTCGACGAAAGGAGAGGACCCACGGAGCCAATCGTCGGCTACAGAGCCTGCAATTCCCGGTGCAATGTGTCTCGCGACCCGACCCCCATCTCCTCCTGCTGCTCCTTCTCGTGCTCATTTTTCTGTCCTTTACTTGCTCTCATGAGATCAGCTCAATATCAGCACGGGCGTGGCCACGAACTCGTCACTAACAGTGAGGCAGTCGATCGCTGCGTAATCCTCGTGCTGTGTGAGGGTGACTGAGTGAGGGAGGGAGGGAGGGAGAGAGAGAGTTCCGAGTTGCAGTAGTAAGGGAAGTAACTGCTCCGAGAATCAGTGGGTTAAGAATCTGAAGGGAATGTGGAGAGCAGAGGGAGAGCAGAGGAGAGCGAGGGAGGGAGGGAGGGCTGATCGAGAGGGGCATAATTCTCATGACCGGCTTCCCTGCTCGACCTAGCCAGGCAGCCAGGCAGCCAGCGGTGAATCAAAAGTTATGGCCAACTGTTGATTCCACAGAACGTGAGGTGTGGTGTGGTGTCGGATTGGATTGATTGACCGGTCCGATTGGAAATAATTTAGTAATTTTCGGGCGCGGAGAGTCTCCAGAGGCTCGAGTACTTTTGAGCGCCCGAGCTTGGAAGTATTTCGTAGGCCGGTCCTGAGCGGCTTCAGCAGCAGAAGCAGGCAGAAGCAGGCAAGCGTGGGAGATTGCATAGGTGGGGAAAAGCGAGCAGCAGAACAAGATGGGTTCGGCCGGGCGCTTGACTCATCGTTTGCTGTGGGGAGCTTCCCTCGTGCTATGCATCGCCCTCGTTAATGGATCGTGTTTTCCTGCAATCTTCAATTTCGGAGACTCGCAGAGTGATACCGGGGGCATCCACGCCGCGTTCCCCAGCTTCACACCTGCTGAATTCCCGCCGTATGGAGAGACCTACTTCCAGCAACCGCAGTTTCGGTACTCCGATGGACGTCTGCTCATCGATTTCATCAGTACGTTCCGCCCAATTCTCGTGTCCCACTACCTTGGAATGCTGTATGAGAATGCTGGTCATGCTTCGAGCTCCCTCTGTATTCTACAGCGCCATGACTGCGCTTGTCGACCACAGCTGGTCCGCCACTTGCTCTCTTGTTTGTAGATCTGAATGCATGATACCTCACTCGCGGCATTTTCTAGTTGGAGATCGACAATTAGATCCGAGGCGATTCTACCAGAGTATGCCTACGCTTGCATTCCAGACAAATCGCCCTGCACACACACTCACACATTTCTGATTCTAGAGCATTGCCGTCCTAAACTTTCAGATTCCAGCCACAACCGAGAGATTCCACCCATGAATAACTAACTAGTCATATTTCGGAGTCACAAATTCTTACCCCGTCTTATGTCTTCAAATTTTCCTCTTGTCAATTAGTGAATCTTCGAAGAGGTCCGTCAGAGACTCGAAACTTCCCCTCGAGATTAGAGACATCTCGTTCGAGAGACCACTTCCACGAATGTGCCGTCACCTGCTCGCTTCATGAGAGTCCGTCATTGCTCTGCCGGAATGGACGCACGGATCGCAGTGGCTCAGAGTCGATATATGTTGAAGACCACGCCATGTGCATGATTTCTCAGGGCCGGACGATGTGCTGGACTCCATATCAGTCCGGTGCTGTCGAGCCAAATTGCATGAGCTTTCGATTGTTTCAGAGGTCATGATGGGCTTGTTGTTTTGCTTGTGCTTGTGCTTGCAGCGACTGCCATGGGTCTACCATTCCTGGACCCGTACCTGCAATCCGTGACATCAGATTTCTATCACGGTGCCAACTTTGCGACAGCCGGAGCCACTGTGCTTCCGGTTACGTATCTCAGTCCTTTCAACTTCAATATTCAGCTTCTGCAGTTTATGGAGTTCCAGAAGAATGTGATGGCCATCAGGAATCCCAAGAGTGGCACCCTCGGTAGGACGTCGACCACCATCAAATCCGCCGCTTCGAGTAAGTACTGCCTCACCTTCTGCCTTCGGCTCTCGCGCCATTTGATCTTTGACCTGATCCGATGTTCCAGTTGAGTTCATGTGAGGGATGACGAATTGCTCCCCGTAGATCTTGCTTTTGACGGCGAAATTTCCTCCCCTCAAGATGCAATCGAATGAATTTTTCGACGCTCGATCTCCTTCGTAACTGAAATCCCCGCGAACCGGTCCATCGGCCTCCCCCCAGCTCTGAGCTCCGAAACATGATAACATGAACTGAGAATTACAGACTGCAAGAAGCAGCAATTCGAAGCACATAATGCTCCATTCCCCATATCCCCTCGCATCCCCTTCAGCGAAGACAGATCTGCAGACCGCGAGAGACAAGCGTTTGTCAGAGGACGGTTTCTTGAAATGCTGCCTATCGGCTGTCGTCGTGTTGATCAGGCGACAGTCGATAGACAGCAATGACGCTAGAAGAGAGCTCAGGGACGCATTTTGTGTCCAGGCGGTATGTGTTACGTGGACCCGTATGATTATCAGAGGTGCCATGCTCAAGGGGTTTACAGAGAATCCTCCTGGTTGTGTTCCACAGCATATTCCGAGAAGGTGCACCGCCTACCGCTGCCCGAGTTCTTCAATCAGGCTCTTTACACCATCTGTATCGGAGGCAACGACTTCACCTACGGTTACACGAAAGGGAAATCTCCTGCAGAAGTCGAGGAGTACCTTCCCCAAGTCGTTGACGGCATCGTTGGAGGCATCAGGGTACGTATATATCCAGCAATTTCACGAGGTTCCTGTCAAATCTGTTCGTGTTCATCTGTGTTTGAGAGACGAGTTGTCGAGACAATCGAGGTGAACAAGAAGAATAGAATAAGCTGCTGATGATCGATTGCCGAACGTGTTTGTTTGTTTGCTTGCTTGTCACAGCGATTGTACTACGCCGGTGGTAGGCACTTCCTTATCTGGGATGCTGAACCTCAAGGATGCCTGCCCTACACACTTACCTTGATCCATCACTCTGAGCAAGATTTGGACGAGCATGGCTGCCTGCCTCGCTACAACCAAGTCTCGGTTTTCTTCAATACCTACCTTAACAACTCGTTGACCGAATTGAGATCTGAGTTGCAAGACTCCACCATCGTTATGTTTTCGACCTACGATTTGAAGGCAGATCTTATTATGCATCATAACACGCACGGTAATTATACTTCCTGCCTGAGCCGGACTTCATCTTGATTTTTTCTGTAATTTCTCGAACATCGAGCGAGGTTCTCTGTCTGCCTCGAAGTTCCGATTGACTACTGCTTACTGAACGAGAAATGCGGATGCTGGTCTGCGCAGGATTCAAGCACGTGAACAGAGCCTGCTGTGGTGTTCCCAATGAATTCAACTACGATCTTCGGGTGGCCTGTGGAATGTCGCAAGTCATCGACAACGTGACATTCGCTTCGACCACCTGCTCGGATCCTAATGAGTACATCGTGTGGGACGGAGTGCACACCACTGAAGCTGCGAACCGCTACATCGCCAAGCAAATGTTCACCGGGAAATTCTTCTATCCCAGGTTCTCGAAACTCATCGACTACTGCAACCTCGGACCCCTGACATAAGAATCCATCGTGTCGAGAAATGACGACGAGTCGAAGCGACATTCCAGAACCCGCCGGCACAGTGGTGAATCAAAACATTTTTCTGTAGCTTAGAGAGTTCGTTATTGTGATCAGTGGATTTGAATGAATGAATGAATGAATGATGCAAAGGTTCGTGTTAGAGACCTGAGATTTGGTGCTTCTATCCACAAGCTAGCCACATTGGCTGCAAACCAAATCTCGTGTGACTATAGTAGCACAAGAACAGATGCTCACCCAGCCTATCAGAACAGTACAACTCATTGGGTGCGTGATCCGTGCATATATGCCAATTGACTTATTTCATAAACACAGTCATGATAAAAAGTTCCCATTTACGCGTAGCAAAGTGTCTGGCCGAGGTCTCCTGAATGCTAAATCTGCGTCATCTGAATCATCTAAATCTGCTTGTGCTCTGCTCTGCGCCTGTGATTGTTCTCCTCGTAAAGCTGCTTTCTGGTCAACTTGCTCATATGTAAGACCTTATGGCTGAGATCTAAAGTACATCTGCTTTTCAGTTGTCAACTTCTCTGTCGAATTGGTCACTCTCTGCCAAGCAGTCTACTTTTATTGCTGGGACGATGTACACCAGCGACTGGCCATGGATCTTGTCATGGAAGTCGGCGGCTGTGCTCAAGCAACAGAGCTTGATGAACGGAGGCAATTCATATTATTAGCATATCACTTCGCGCACGTAATTGTGTTGGTCCCAGATTTCCCCAAAAGCGTCGTAAGCAAAAGACGAGACGTAACGAGAAGCGACGGTCTCACATTATTCGCGTCTCTTTTTTCGCTCGTACTTCAGTGGCATAATTGCTCAGATCTCTTAGAACAGAAATAACAATGGAAAGGTTTTTCAGACTTCGATTACCTTATATCTATCATAATCCCGTACGAGCACAGGCGATTTTTTGGAATTAAGCTGGTTCGAAGAAGTGTTTTGGTTCATGAAACAAGAACTTTGGAAACCTCGCATTAATATTCAGTTCTAGTTTCCTTGTCTACCAATCATTACTCAAACAATTTCAGCTTTTAATCCGTATAAAAGTGCTTGAATATGAACTCTTTCGCAGTGCTTTCACTACCAGCTTATTATTGTCATAACATTTCCTCTGAAGCATTCCAGCTACTTTACATTCGCAGTAAATGTGATGTCACTCAAAATTCAGTATTTCAACCTTACATCAACTATTTACTTTTCTAATGAAAAGTTCTGACTAACATATTCTCAGTCTCGATCTTACATATTATGCAGACAATCTCTAATTGATCTTAATTCCAAAAAAAAGGTACTGACAGTAGTTTGAAAAAAAATACATGTCAAGTTTTGATTTATTTAGCATCCCCAAAAAAGTGATGTTTGAAGGACATATCCTTATAGCTACAATAAAACATGGAGTAACCTACAATCTTCAATCCCACAGATACCAAACATGAGAACGTCCCCTTAGTAAATAATTGAGACAGAATTGAATAAAAAAAAGGTGCTAGAACCTTTAACATATGGACAAGTTCAATCGATTTTCAATACGTTTTCTCCCAACCTCTGTGACCGCCAGATCGACATCAATTTCCACGCTCCAGCTTTGCTTTTGAGTCTCGCTCAGGTTTTCTCCAGCTGAGCACCTCGACCTCCCAGTGATGACAAGTAGCGTCAGATCTCGGCGATGTAGACATCCTGACATGAACATTCTAGAAACACCCCACAGTTAGAAGCACTCGAATTACTGTTCCCTCATGAGTGAACTCAGGGTTGCGCTTGCCACGAAGGCAGCGGGAGGCCACACGGGAGACTGCGATGCAAAGATTACTTCAATAATAGGGCTACTATATTCCTGAGATCCACTGTAGTATGCAACGTGCTATTATGGATTGACTAATTACACACAAAACATGTCAGGCAACGAAACCCTTCGCATGCTGTAACCATCCTGGCAACTAGATTACTAACGAAGATTAACGACGGTTGAGGGATTGGGGGTACCACTTGACCCCTGACTGATTCTCCTCTGCTCCCTATCCTCGAAATAGTTTATTTGCTCCCTCAGTTCCGGAACTTCTTCTTGCAACTCCATAGTTCTTCTATGCAACGCACATCCGTGAAACATCCATCCATGCTCCTTCATTCTCGCCTCGGCGTCGAAAGCCAACAAAGTCATCGCATCTGCTCGGATCGATTCTGGCAAGTCGTGCAATATCTTGATGACTTTGCTGGCCTTGAAAATTTCGTGTACATACGCAAACTTCAAAGCCTCCGCTGCAGGAAAGTAAGGTGCGAATACGCACTCGGCCGTGCACTTCCATCGAAATAATCTACATGCTCCGCAAGGCGAGCTCGGAGAGCTCCCTCCGCCAGTGTGGGACATCGTGTGACCTGGGCAATACCTCGCGTGCGGGTCGACAATCTGATGAATATTGTGACCATCGTAAACTATATGTGACCTCAAAATGTGGTCTATTGCCCCAAATTTGGGTACCAGAACGGTCCCAATCTTGTTTCCGAGCCGCGTTAGAGTCATCAAGGGAGCATTAGTGAGCGTCTTTCGTTGCACCGACATGTCTTCTAGGATGTTACAGATTTTAGAGTATAACCGATAATCTGGGTCCAACGACAAGGGAGCATTAGTGAGCGTCTTTCGTTGCACCGACATGTCTTCTAGGATGTTACAGATTTTAGAATATAACCGATAATCTGGGTCCAACGACAAGGGAGCATTAGTGAGCGTCTTTCGTTGCACCGACATGTCTTCTAGGATGTTACAGATTTTAGTATATAACCGATAATCTGGGTCCAACGACAATGCACTTCTAACGCATCTTGCGCTACTTGGCTTCAGTCGGCGGCTGTGTTTACAAAAAACAAGCTGGAAATTCTCCAAGCTGCGCGACGTGGCTCCCGTCGAAGGCTTACACTACAAGAACTTTGGAAGCCAGCATTAGCAACGAATCGTCTGCTTACACGGAGGTTGAGTAGATAAAATAGAATGCGTAGTGCCATTCTTCGAATTGTGTAGTAAATTCCATGAGGACCAAGATTGAGTATCACCTTTGTCTAGATCTTTAAATCAGAAACAGAGGTCTTTCCCTCACCATAGGAATGCTCTACCACCTGAGGTACACAGGGTCCAGAATGGAATTGGCCGAGTCGTGTTACTTGCCAAGACGAGCAAGGAACATGTTGGTTTGAAATCAGATCAATACGGTTGCCAATCTAGCAATTGAAGCCAATCTACGAGTAACTATATATTCAAAAGTTGTAGTCATGATTGATTCCAGGTCATGACATTAGGTGTTTTTGTGTTATCGCATGGTACCGAAGAACAGTGATGACAAGGTAAAATAACAAAAGATTAGAAACAGCATAGTATTGTTGTATGTTTATTTATACTTGAAGAAATCGGGAATTATAATAAATTGGAAAAATAATATCACAGGAATTTTACTTATAAAGATAACTTCAATTACATATGTCAAAATTCAGATTTTAAACAGTTTCTACAGAATTAGCTGCCGTTTTTATACCTTTAAGAAAGAAAGAAGAAAACATAAAATTTCTATCGTTTTTACGTTTCAAATTTACGTTTTTACATACTTTGCAATCATAGCATCTGAAAATCAAAACACCACTTCGACATTATACAACCTTGCATAAATGATATTAAATCCTACATGATGATCTGAAAAACTTAAATCTCGATTACTCAAATTTTCTTCATGTAAATTTAAATATGAAAAATAATTTTATTTATAAAACTCAGGGAATTAATAATAAAAAATTAGAATGAATCATAGATAATTGTATTGTATGCAATTTTGAATAGAAAAAATTATGATTGTATCATATATTTTACACAAATTTATTATTGATGTATCTGATTTACAAGTTAATTTATTGATGTAATTTCCATCAAATTATGTCCATCAATATATTTAGTAAATTTCACACATTTAAAAATTTATTCTTGAAAAGAAAACAATAAATTCTTTATTTATTTTAATTATTTTATCATAAGTTCATGTAAATTTGGTATAATTTGATATGATTTTTAAGAAATGAAATAAAGAATCTAGATGAGTATCAATTTTGAAATTTTAAGTTTTGAATATAAGCATAAACAAAAAGAATTTATTTAAGTGAATAAGGATAATCTGTGATAAAATTCCACATTGTGATATTATAATTGTCTTATAAATGTACACTGGATGACAAGTTATAAGATAAAGCTTTGTAGCTTCAAATGTAGGTGACACTAAAGTAGCTTTCAAACATGCAGAAATGAAAAGTGGATAAATTTATCTTTTGGCCAAAAACAATGTAAATCTAACGAGAGTTCACTAAATTATACTTCTACATGCACACACAAAAATTCGAAACACAAACCTTACCTTTTCCACAAAATTAGATTGAAAAATTTTTATATTTAGTTCACATTTTTCTCTTACTATCCTGCAATCTAAGTAAATTTACATAAGGATAAATGCTATGAATTAGGGACGCCAAATTTGATAAATCGCACTGCAACATATGATTGTTAGAGATTACTGCACTATATATAGTTTATGTTAAAATACCATTATTTTGGAGAATATAGTTTGTGATAGTTTTGTAGTTAAATATGTATATATATATATATATATATATAAATGTTAAAAGGACCACAAACACGTTTACTATCAAAATTTGATTTTTCATACACAAATTCACATATCATCCACAAACTTATTTTTGTTTCATAGATGCAAAATGGTGTCAGAATTGACCACTGTTTGAAAGTAACAAAACTAATCAATATATTTCCATCTTATTTTCCGTGGTCTAGTATGATAGTGTGATTAAACGATGGAGTCTCATAACCTCCTCTAATCCCTCCTTTGATTTCTGGTATTGGTACTAGAAGCGCATCTAAACTCCAAGTTCATGATTAAAACTCTCTACCGCTCTACCGCTCATTGTCAACCGCTCTACAGTAAGCAATGGAACGAGTTTCAATGATGGACATGAAATCAAAAGCATGTTCAGCTTCATGATCCCATCGATACCATCTAGACATGACATTCCATTCAGAAGGAAGGAAAGTTTCAAAGAGAAACTAAGTGACAGCTCAATGGGCTGTTCGATTCCGAGTACAAATTTCTGTATAGAGTCCGTCCTGACTCGGAGCCGCAGTATATGGAGGACTCGACTGTGAATGTCGACTACACATCGATTTACACACAATGAAAATGAATTCGATCTAGGAAATAAAAAATTTAACTATCCTTTGTCCGGGGGAGTAGTAAGAAAATTTCGACATGTATACTGTCATCGAAGCCGCCCGAGGAGTTTTCTGAGTCACAGAGAGAGAGAGTGCGAGTGATGAAATACGCCGTTCCTAGATGGGGAAGATGCTTGAGACGTTCGGGTAGACCACGGCAGCTGGGTGTCCCATTATCCTACGGCCCTTCGCATGCTTGAAGCACCAGACGACAGCACCCAGAGGCCACTCGATAACGGCAGCTAAAGCAAATGCAACGAAACCGATCGTAGGTCCCACTATTCTGCACCTGCATGGATTGGCATGCGACCCACACTCGATGCAGCACGGAATGAAGGGCATTGCGATCGATGCTGTTGAGTTCCTGCGAGTTCTACTGCAGAACAAATTCTTCACCTCACGTCGTCGGTCAGACAGGCCTTCAAAACCGGACCTTCAAAACATCTGCTGCTTCGTCGACCCAGAGGAAGCTCTCCAATTTACCAGCCTATGTATGAAAACTATGAATGATCTCCTGCGTCGCCCACGTCTGAGCAGAATGATCTTCCTCTCTCCTACGATTCGTAGTTTTATGCACTTCCTCTCAGCCTCCGTCGGTTTGGGAATCTCTCGAGCTCCAACAACTTCTGAGTATGACGAGGTTCAGTAGTCATCTGCCTCGCGTAATGCTTCGTTTGCTGGATTTGAGCTAGCGGAGCATCCCCACAGATTCCAGCTCGCAACAAACTCACTATCTGATTGCCTCTCGACCCTCTTCCTTCATTCGCCAACATTCCCTCGAGCGCACGGACACGGCCCTTGACCCCAACCACGACACGTGGATCTGGACCGACGTGTCGGCTCCATATTCGACGTGTACTGTCGGACGCCCATGACTCAGACTGGCACGTTCATGATTTTGATTGGTTCGGAATGCGGTACAGGAAGATGCGCTTGTGTACTTCAGCCTGAGTCCGCCTCCATACTGCCACGTAAGTAAAGCCAGTTTGCCGATGCTTTGAAGGTACGACCAGCCACGCGTCAGTGCCTCTCGTCTCGTAGTGACGATCGTCAATCTTTGTCGGCAATCGAATCTCGACAGGTGTCGGTCGTCGCCTTGTTCTTTTCCTCTGCTCTACGTGGTCATTTCACGTTGGCAAGCGAGTTGTATATTGTATATAGAGGGTCTGCTTCAGATTACTCTACCGGCGATCAACACTGGGCCAACAATCTGCCGAGCGACCGATTTGCGCAGGCCTCCGGATTTCAACGCCCAGCGCTGAAGCACTTCCGATTCAATTCCACTCGTCAAAGCATTAGTTCTCCGTGTGGGTGGTCCAGCATTGTCTGGTCGGTTGGTGAAATTTGTGATCCGTGGACAGCACGAAGCGCAGGGAGAAGTTCTGGTGGTGGTGGTGCCGAATTGAAGAGTGTTCAGGGGCAAAATGCCTTACATTCCGTGCTGCGTGCAGTGTCACACCCGCGAGAATCCATGCCATTGCAAGGTCGTCGGTCCTACTCTGGGCTTCGTTGGCTTTGCTCTGTTTGCTCTCGTCGAATGGCCAGTAGGTGCTTTGGTCTGGTGCTTTCGCCACCACAAGGGGCGCAGAATTATGAGGCACCCTGCAAACGTCGTCTACCCCAGAATTGCTGCAGCCGTCCCCATCTAAGCAGATTGAGTATGGAAGTAAGCTTAAATTGTTCTTCCAGCACCAATTCTCTATCGCAACCCCTGCTCCGTTTTGAACGAGTGTATTTTTTTTCACGTGAAAGGGCCTGTCCGCTAGTGATCAAAGAAACGACTGAAATGAATTTTCGCGTCGACAACTCAAGATGACAGGAAGCGTGAGCATCGAGCAGATATATATGAATTATTTTTTTGGAATAGCTCAGTTAGACTCTCACGTATGCAGGAAGTGATAGAATGATTCAAGCAAATCACAGATGACAAACAGCAGGCACATACGTATCTGAATCCTTGAATTTGCTTGCAATTCGGTTTCTAAGTTAGAGCACTCGAGTGTGGTTTAAGTAGACGACTAATGCAAGTCAGTCACATTAGACATACAATAATGTTTCACTGGTAGATTTTGTGTAAAGACAGAATTTTTTTCGCGAATCCATTACATCTTCTGTTTATCAAAGTACAGCACGAAATTTGAATAAATCGTCGAGATTGGCAGGAGATATGCATAACTCAAGTTTAATGCGAAGTATATGTTTCTTCAAATTCCTGTTGGCAAAGAAAAACAAGTTACATACTTAGAATACGTTCACAGAAACCTGAGATCTGGCCAGTAGATGCGTGCGAAATACTCTCATCAATTATCGTTAAAGTCAAACATATGAACTATTAAAGATCTCTATATATGGTAGTTCGGCTTCTCGTATGAGTTTCAGCACAGTTCTCTGACAGACTTTCTTCATCAATGTTATTAGTTTTCTACATTAACCATAATTAACTTCACACTAGTTGCTTTACCTTTGAAATGCTAATACTACGGTCTCCTCTAGTCTCAATAGATAGTCACTGAAGTATCTTGCTCTAAATCAACATTTACAGTTCTGGTCGTCTTAGTCAGTGTGTGATATATTTATCACACAATGTGATATCCAACTTTCGCCCAATCTAAGAATCTATTCAGGTCATAACATTGATACTAATTTCGGCGAAAGCTCAGTCTCTGCAGAAATTCTAGATGGCGTTGAAAGTAAATTGGGTTCTCAAAACTTTCGCGGAATTGAGTCAAGTTTCCTACTACAATACTAGCACTGGTGGCCTTAATCCATCTGCGTGGTTAATTCCATGTACACCTATCTACCTCGACATCTATTCCGCGTACGGATCTCAGATTTAACACCTGTCTAATCTCTGTCTCCTGATTTATCTCCTGATAAAAACGGAAGGGGGAGGGGAAGTTCAGCTCCAGTTGTCCACCAAATTCTTCCCAAGTACAGTTAGGTTTCCATGTACAACCGCTCAATCTTTCTTTGATGTTTTAATTATGAGCGATTTGTGAATATGAGGGATGACACCTCCCCGAGCAATTGTACCCTTTATGAGGATGTCCAATTCCTCATCTCCTCAAATTGCCAATTGCAGATGCCGGGGAATGATCCGCTTCACCTTCAGATCTTTGCTTGCATTGCTAGCTAGCTCCAACACCTCTGTAGTGAAATAGCCCAAAATTGCTGCAGAGTAAACTGCTGCAGTAGCAGCAACTCGCCCATTGGCGGCCACTCTAGACTTCAAAAGCCGATGAATACGTCCGACCGGGAACTGCAGCCCGGCACGAAGGAGGAGAACGGAAGGGTGTGAAGACATTTACTGGTAGAAGAGTAGGTATGTGCTTTGGTCCAAGAGAACCAAATGTAAGACTGATGCAAGCTTAACATACATCGCAAATATATTGGACAGAGTTCTTTGGTTGAAATTAAAGTGGAAGAGATGGAAATGCTTCAAAATTTTAAGTGCTATCATAATGTATTATGGCAAGTAAAGACGAAGAGATCTCCTATTATTCTCATGAACGGTTTAATCAAAAGTAAACAACTGGACGGTTATTGTCAGAATCATCATCGTTCTCAAGTGATGGTAAGATTAATGATTATACAACGTTTCATCAATATCATCGACATCTTCTGTGAAATGTCTTTGAAGCATTATTTGAGATGATTGAAAAATGAGGCCAGGCATCCTCCACCGTTACTACTACCTGCAAAACCCATATTTGTGACCGATTGTCAATCGTAAGCAAAGCTTTTTTTTAAACGGCTTCATTGTGAGCATCCTCCTGTGATCTTCTAACTGTTGCTAGAGTGCAGCAGCATTAACCTTTTCTAGGGTAACCAGATTGTCTAGATTCCCTTACTGTTGTATCTCCGAGTGTTGTAAAAAGCTGTGAAAGAAAAAGACTAATCAAGGAGTTTTGTAGGGTCACCTATATCGATATTTCAGTGGGTAGATTCCTAAAATTCCTGGAGACGTTCTTAACAACGAAAGTAACAATTTCAATAATACATAACACTCGGACTGTTCGGGAAACTGGAATGTCTGTGATCCATTTTTCCGGTTTGAATGTTTAGCTTAATCATGTGTTCGTGCGGCTTGATATTCTCCCTCGAATATATTTTATATTTATTTATCATAAATGACCCCATATAGAACGGATATAGAGGGGGACGAGTAGCGGAAGTGCTGGTGTATTATTACATGTTACGCAAATCCCCAAGAACACTTTTGTTACCAAAAAGAAGTGTTGCATAACCACATGCAGCAAGGACGTTTGGGCGCTAAACTCCTAGCTTGAGACTATATTGATGATACATGAGTACTTCACCTAGAACAAGAAGCTCAAAACGGGAGAGTTTGCTACTAAGACATTCTCAATTGTCCTTTTAGTATCCCGAACAGCAGACATGTGAACCTTCGCGTAGAGAAATGAAATTTAAACTCCAGACTTAAGGATCAGTCGTCGGACGCATGAAAACTTCTCAATATCGGCAACACAGCTCGCTCCAAAAGATGTTAGTTGTATAGGGTGACCAAATCCATGAGGCTTTCATTGGAAGAAAACTTTACATTATTCATCTCCAGCTAGTTCAGTGGTTCCTTGCTCTGTCAACTCCAGGTTGTTCAGTGCAGAGATATAAATGGTGGAAAGATTTGAATGAATAACAAATACAACTCTCTCGTCAGATAGACAAACCTAGGTCTCACTTGTTTAAGTGAAGTCTCCCAACAAGGACATATTTCTACGTGAGCAGTTCAGCTCTGGCTTGCCTCAATGAGGCTTAGGAACATGACCATCAACGGCAAAATTTCTGGTTGCTGCAGGAAGTGCAAGCCGCAACCCATCGAGCTCTGGTTGAGCAATCACCTGACACCCTAACCTAGACCTGCACATAGAAATAAAAAACGACTTAGCTTGCAATTCCAAAGCCTAAACTATGCCAATCTGCACTTGGGCGATGCACAACGAAACTAACTTACGTTTCTGTCAATCCGAACGCAAGATCCAGCATATCGTTCTCCTCGTCTGTTGGCTCTGGCAATTGCCCATACACGTCCTCATCCTATACAAATTGGACAGCAGTGTCAAACGTAGCTTTGGAGATCAGGGGACGTGCATCGCATCGAATGAAGAGCCAATCAAATATGTATAGTAAGTGCGCTAACAAGTGCAAACCGATAGGGTGTCTGAAAACCAAAAAAGAGAAGTCTCTTTAGTGTGATCACCATAGAGAGGTACAAGAAGGATCCCAACAAAAGGGTAACGGTCCGAGGGTGTGTGTCCAATTCAATCCAAATTCCAAGGTAGGCTAAAGCGGTAACAGTTCACAGAAGACAATCCACTAAAAAACAACGGTTTCCGATATACAATATCTGAACTCGATGCGAGAATCGAGAGACTAGATCTACCTAAGTATTACTAACATACGCAAGTCTGAGTTTTATGAAACAAGTTATAGAAAAGCATTTGCGTTTCTGATTCACTCATCAAATGATGACAGCTATCCTAGTACATGTTGAGGATTGGTGAACAAAGTGTGGTATGTAAGGTGTAAGATACGTAGTTCAAAAATCTATCAACTGAGCAGCTGATAAGAAATTGGTTACAATTTGGTTGAATGATCTGAAAGCGTGAAATAATTGCATCGACTACACTGCTATAAACTTTCAAAAAAGGGCGAAGGTAACACACCATGACTATGACGTGACATGTTGAACAAGCCAAAGATCCTTCACAAGCACCTGATGCACAAATTACAAATATTCTGAAATGAGTAGGGATTATAATCGGAGTCAAAACCAGAAACACAGGCATGCACCTAGAACCTTGTACGGTCTACCCTTCTAAGCCATTAGCGGCCATAATGAACGAGGTCAGAACAAGCTATAGACTTCGAAGCGAAGCTATGTAATGAGGATTTCAAATTCACCTTCGAGTTCAATATCATTCTCATGAGCAGCTTCGAGCATGGACATGCCCACTGGGACTTTAATAGTTGTCTCATCGCCATCTTTATCCACAAATGTCACAGATATCCTGAAACCAAGAAACTGAAAGTTGGAGGTGAACAGTTCATGATAAAGGCGCTCTCAGGCGCTGTATGATACACAAAAATCATACTTGATGGGAAAGAATAAAAGGAAAACGTCTTGCAGACACGGACAGATATGATCTTAATACATTTGTACTATTTAACGTTAGATATTAGAACGTACAGTCAGTCTACACTGTCCAAACTATTACTTCAGGGGATGTTTGGACAGCCATCTAAGGCAGAATGATGTAGTGGACTCGCAATTTCCATAAGACGATCTGAACAACCTCCACATAAATAGAGCGTTAAAAAGTATGCTGAATGTGAGGTGGAGAGGTGGGGGGTACCAACGTTTCTTTGTCTCCAGAATGACCAGCTCTTGTTGACAATCCGCATCTCTGCTCGCAGTGGGAAGCTAAATATAAAAGAAGTAATGAGATTCCACAAAAAAAGCAACAGAGATGTTGGAAGCCAATCCGATCATGCGCAAACAACCAGCCATCAAACTTCAAATAGGTCACCGAATCAGCTAAATTCATGCATTGGACTGGGCGCCCGACCTTCATGCGCAACTTCGATACAGACTTTGACTACAATAAGTAAGTCGGGACGTACTCACCTGCTCGTGCTACCAAAGATGTAATTACTGAAGATGGGTGTTTGAGAAATTGCGAATTGTAGAACAGCCGGTCGGGGGCGGTTGATGCAGACACATGGATTCTTCGGGTCGAAATTTGCTCGGTCAAATAGTTCCGGCGAGAGGATTCTACCGCAGAAAAATCTTGAGAGCTGACGTTGCCCCTTCCTGAATCAGCGGAAATAGAACAGGACTGCTCGGATGCTGCTAACGTGGCCGGATCTTTGGACCACCCATCGCTGTGCTTCACGCTGAAGATGGGCAATCGATGAGAGTAGATCCTGCCTAGGGGCTGAAAACTGTTGACAAGTCGTGATCGGCCCATGGCTGCCGACCGGAGCAGAGAAATCGCGTCAGAGCAACTGATCGTCGTCTAGGAGACGAAATCGACCTTCATTCAGAACAACACAATCATCTTACAGCATGCTCTGCAGGTCCCAACGAGGACTGAAGGTAAACATCGTGCGTCATCAGCGGCGAGCGGTGAAGCAATTCATCATGTGGTCACCTGCAGACGGATCGAACAGGCTCACGGTCGCAGAATTCTACGACAGGTAAACACTTGCAGACCGATTCCCTCGCCAGCAGAGGCTTCTGGGGTAGATGCAGGGGCACATGCCAAACAAATTTCAGCTCGTCTCACCTGCTATGAGGAGCCAAGGTCGGCCCCACATGCACCGGGACTAGGGTTTAGGCTTATCAACCCTCGCTGTTGTACGTGGGAAACACCGGACACTCCATGCCCATCCTCTCAAGCTCCGTGCACGGATGGGGATCGATGTTGCAATAGTGACCTCCTCCCCCTCGGGCCTCGTGCAGACGACATGTCGCCGTGGACGATCAATGGCTACGTCGGCTTCGCAGTCCCACCCACCATCCCCCTTGTCCTTTGCTCGCCCTCATTGCCATATTACGAACATATGCTCGAGACTGAGCCCACTTTCTGAGGGAATTCGCCGAGTGCGAGTGGGAGTGGACGATCTGGGTTGCGCTAATGCTCGCAAATTCCTTCTAAGACTAGGGGGCCAAATAATAGAGCGAAAAAGGAAGCCAGCTTCAAGCATTTCGTAGATGACACCGATAGTTTTATTAAGTGCTAAAATCCTATAACATGACAATGTAAAATATTTCTATTTCCCGGAATATCTAGGTCATAACATCTACAAACATTATGAGAATCCAAATAGACGTCACTATTTATGTCACTCATCAATAGTTTATGTAGAATGAAATCATGGTCACTGAAAATCAAGGATACAAGAAATTAAAGAAAACGATACCAGAAGTCAAATGTAGTAGGTTTAGGTCCCCGTTCATTTCTTCACAAACATATTAATATTTTAGTAGGAAATATATGAACTATTTGCATATCCGTATGTGTTTGCTGTTCTTCATTTCTCGCTCGTCCAAATTATAGCTAATAATCATATAAGTGAATCTATGTAGCATGTAGCCTTGGTTCCCTAAAACCGTGTTAGTATTGCTGATTTTGTGATATGTAAATAAGATTTAAAATTACGTGTTAACTAAATTGCATATCGTAAGAATATATATATATATATATATATATATATATATATATATATATATATCATGTATATACATGATATATTATCATAGCTACGTACTTCACATTCATTGCAAGGAATGTTCAAGTTACAATCACGCATAGAGAAATAAAAAAGTTGCACAGAGTATCAACAAACCAACAATATTCAAGAAAATTTTGCTCCATCAATTGTAACGTGTGATGTTGCGTTGCATTTAATGTATTCTTAAGCAAAACAACTTCTAAGACCTTTTGTTATTCTATTTGGATTTTATATCTATTGTGTTTCTTTTCTTTTCCTCTCGGTCATCGAGAAAAATTATGCTGCTCAACGTGATAATAATAAAATAAAGTAACAAGTGATATATATATGAGAACATCCAGAAGGTCTTACCTCATTTTGATTGTATATACCAGACTACGTGATGATAATAATATAGACCTATCATAAGCATGATAACGCTTTATAATAGATCAATATATTTATAAATTTGTAATTTCCGCTGGAGATACAAACTATTTGACTCCGTGTCATGAGCTCTGATAGATATTTTTAGGAAAAAAAATCTCACTTGTAATTATTTAAAGTTTCTTTCGTTTGGATCATTTGTGTTGAAATTTTGTTTCTTTCTTCAGATGTATTCGATTTTGTGTTTGAGTCTAATGATTTATCACTTATAGATATATAGTATCATATCATAATTTCATTTAACTAATAATTGTGATATTCGTGACTTTTAATATTTTACATATGTTCGGACAGTATATACTATAATTAGATTTGTAGATTAAGACTGAAACTTTCTAATCATTATTAACTTAAGTTTTACTTTCGTTTTTAGATCCTTTACGGTCTAAAATTCATGCAATCCACTTCTATACATATATAAGTTTTATTTTTTAAGTTTTTAAATGGTATATCATTTGAAGTATTACAAAAATAAACTTCAGGATACATTTCTATATCGCATTTTCAATAAAATAAAATTTTTATAATTTTCAAATATACTAAAAATACGTTACATAAATCTTATTCAATAATTAGCTGAGTAAAATTTAAAAATAAGGGAAAAAATGTTAATATTTATTTATTGTAAAATTATATAATAAATTAAAATTAAAAATATAATATATATTTCAAATGGAAATCTTGGAAAAACACTCTTCAAACGTACAGATATGTCTATCTTTGATTAGATCTCTACATGTGTTGAAATCTTAGAAAATCTCAAATAATTTGTAAATCCAACTTCAAATTGGTAATTGCAATTTTGTGTATAAAATGTCAATTTTTTATCAATAAGTTGCAAAAATTTATTCCTATTTACTAACCATTTTTATCATTTTAATTTTTTATTAATTTCAAATAAAATAAAATTCATATTGCATATTTTTTAATATTTAGTAATATTTCAGTAAAGTTGATAGTTTTATAAAATTCAGGTTCAATCAATCTAAACTAATTCAAGAGTTGGATATACAAATATTTATTTTATATATTTTTAATTTAAAAATTTTAATGTCTTTGTATAAAATATTTTGATATAAACTTATTCATAATTATTACAACAATATTTACAATGATTTACTATCAGAAATAAATGTGATGTGAGATGATGTTTGAATAATATTAATTCCATATTTTGGTCATCAATAGGATGAATATAAATATAACCAATTTAATCATCTTCTAAATTTATTGATTAAAATTCTATTTTATATTTTATTTAGCTTCAAATAATTTAGTGCTTAACTTATTTTTTAAATACAAAATCGTAATATAATTTAGAAATTAAATATTTTTAACTTAATATTAAATATAGACAGAAGTAAGTTATGCAAAAATTTTATATCATCAATAATTTTTACTATAATGCAATGTAATATGTTGTTTATATCATTAATTTATGCTTCGTAAATTATGTAAAAATGAAATGAATATAATCATTCATAAATACAAGTATAGGAAGTTGGCCGTATGAAATAATACATCGACCTATGTTCAACGAAGTCAATTCATGACGCTATTGAGCAATGCAAATTTCTAATCATGGTAGACACATGACAGTCTTTATGAAAAGATCATCATATAGGATGGTAGAATTTCAATATATGTTCAAATATTAGTTCATGAGGCTTTTCATGGATAAGAAGTGGTACATAGATTAATCGTTGAACTTAAAAGATGATCCATATAATTAAAACTATCAACATTGAATTTATTAATATAAATTTGAAATTCAATACCGTTTTCTTATTATTTTTTTCCAAGATCTATAAGTTTATGTGCATTTTTTGTGAATATTAAGGCAACACATAATATTGGCCAAAAAGTTTATGTATCAAAATTGACATTTAAAACTTAAGTTGTCATCAATTTAGTTTGCTATTATCATTAAGAAATTAAGCGTAAATATTTAGCGATTGGTATAAACATGTAAGATTTATTTTTATTATTATTTAAATGTTAATTTATTTATTTATATAATATAACCAATTTTTCCTAAATTATACATACATACATACATACATTTCGAAAGAATCAAACTTTGTTGCATACATTTCATTACCAATTCTACATAACACAATCGGATGATTATTATTCTTTTAAATGTAAACATTTAAAACTTGGTCACTTTAGCAATGAAGTTATATCTAGCTATGGACGTATAAATCTACACGTGATCAATTAAAGGAGATGTATAACCAGCTTCTTCTGATGCGAGTTGAGCAATAGTAATCAAAATTTCTAAGCACACCGTTACCATTCAAATGGTTATACTAGCACTAGAGTTATATGAAACTACACATTACAAGTTCAACATATTCTTGAGAGAGGAGTGAGAGTATATAACATAAATACGAAATTTTGGGGGGTTAGTGAACAGCATATGATAGACAATATTTTCAACACTAACTAATGCTATACATTGCAAAACAATCAATTATTGATTTTCAATTGATGTTGTACGAATTGAATTAGACGGTTAACATAACTTAGATGCTGTAGGAAATGTTTTACCAATGGATATTACTAGCGCTAGAACTACTTTGTGCCAGACTTGGATACGAAACCTTCTCATCCTTTTTTCACCACACCGTTCAGGGATTATTACAACGAAATAATAATTGGGATAAATCGCAATACAATATATATCGACATATATCAGAGTGGATAAAAGCCTTGCCTTCATACTCACAGGCTCCAATGACGCTCGACTTGCTGCATTCGAATTTCTTCACGCAGCGGCACCGACTGATTTGACTGCGCTACCCGAGCGTCCCCGAGCGAAGCGGAGCAAGGCGGGAACATTGGAGCGAGAAGCCAGGCACTCATTTTGTACAGAGGTCGCAGCCTCGCTCGTCGAATCGAGCCGCGTTCGTCGGGGTCATGCGGGCGATCATCGATTTGCCAACCAGTCATCGCTTTCCCCCGTCTCCTGCTGCGCCTTCGTATTCTGGTGGGGCCGTGCGTTTACCGCGAGCGCGAGCGCGATGAGACCTTCGGGCCTGCGCGATGTCTTCGAATCCGATGGGGTTTTAGGTGTGCCAAGAATTTGAATGCCGGAGTTGCTCGTTTTCTTGGAACCCCGGAGTTTCGATCGCCGAATCGCACTTGTTCTCGTCGGAATGTACTCGCCTGGTGGATTTTGATGCCTCCTTGCTCGTGAGTTGGAGTCGAGGAACGCAGATGCGGGCCAGTGTTGGGGCGATTTTCTTTGTAATTGTTGGGGTGAACGAGCCGTGAAATATCTGACGCGGAGTCGCGATGCCGCGCGAGATCATAACGCTCCAGGTGGGGCAATGCGGGAACCAGATTGGAATGGAATTTTGGAAGCAGTTGTGCCTGGAGCATGGCATTAGTAAAGCTGGCATTCTCGAGGACTTCGCAACTCAGGTATGTCGTCTCATTGGCAGCGTATTTCTTCTGACAATCTTGTTCTGTGGCGACCGCATTTCTTTCTTATATTCCCGGGGGCGTTTAGAAGGAAAACAGGCTTTGGCGCAGCTTTGTCAACCATTTTATTTTCGTCCATCAAACATTTTATTTTCGTCGGGAGTACACTTTTAGATTGACTCTCAATGTGAAGTTTTTTTTCTTCTTTCTGTACGAATGTATTATTTACGACCTTGGTCTGAAGTTTGGAACCAGTCGCATCTGCTCTAGATCTCATGTTGTCGTAAACTCCTTCAAGTCTCCAGATTGAGAACAGGTTTTTTTCTCATTGGTGTTCGAAATCTGCAACAGGGAGGTGATCGGAAGGATGTGTTTTTCTATCAAGCTGACGACGAACATTACATTCCACGAGCACTGCTTTTGGATTTGGAGCCCAGAGTTATTAACAGCATTCAGAATAGTGAATACCGCAACTTATATAATCACGAAAATGTGTTCGTGGCCGATCACGGAGGTGGTGCGGGAAACAATTGGGCTAGCGGCTATCATCAGGTTGTTATTCTCATGTTTCTCATGAACAGTATTACATTAGTGAGTAGAAATTTCACTTCGAAAGTTAACGTGTCTTGCACATAGCTGTAACGTGAAGGCAAGAGACACTGGTGATGACCATTATACCACAGTCTCTCCGGCGGCCCATCCTGCTCTACTGAAATTGCGTTCCCGACTTTTTCGTGACATGAACATATGATTTTTTTTCACTTCCTTCTCGTCGAAAAACTTCAATTTCGGAATTTGAGATTTGTTCTTTGCTGAACTATCACGTTTAAATTACTTCAGTGAGGGATATGTAAGTTTTGATTCGAAAACGGCTTCAATATTATGAATGTGATCAACGAGTTCCAGCTACAACTTTTAACTGCAGTTCGTTTTTATATCAAACAATCTCTACTTCTTTCTAAATTGAAGTTTCTAAGGCTCTGTAGTTCATATGATCTCGCTGATCATTCAACGATAACAAGTTTTGAATCCGCATTTCGACTGTCATTCATACGCCCATCTCTATCACCTTCTTTGAATAATGTGCAAGCCAGTTTTCCAGTTTCAGGACTGCGGAGACAGTACTTCATACACTGTCGGCTGAGAAATAAATCTTAACCTTGTCAGTCTTTTGCCTTGAGAGTACGATTAGAGAGGAAGTTTAGTTGTATAGGATATAGAGCGAGACATTAGTGTAAGTGAACGCTTACCATGAGCTTGTTTTATTTCCTTTTTAAAGGGTGAACAAGTCGAAGAGGATATAATGGACATGATTGATCGAGAAGCGGATGGAAGTGACAGCTTGGAAGGATTTGTTCTTTGCCATTCCATCGCCGGGGGAACTGGTTCAGGTTGAGTTACCCGTGAGAATTTTTGTTACTACATATCGAATTAGTTACGGTTTTTCTTCAATTTTCCTTGCTCTTTCACCTAGCTCTTTACCTTCATAACTTTTTTCTCCATTCACTGTGTGTGCATGCATGTTATTCTTGTAGAGAGACTGTGAATGTGAAGAGCATGAATGTATTCGAAGAACTCAAACCTCACCGACATTTTCCTTTCTGCGCAGGCATGGGTTCGTACCTATTGGAAGCTCTAAATGACCGGTACAGCAAGAAACTGGTTCAGACATACAGTGTCTTTCCCAACCAAATGGAAACTAGTGATGTCGTGGTGCAGCCATATAACAGCCTTTTGACTCTTAAGCGATTGACTCTCAATGCCGACTGCGTCGTTGTTCTAGATAACACCGCTCTGAACAGGATTGCTGTGGATCGCCTGCACATACCTAACCCAACTTTTGCTCAGACAAATTCACTGGTGTCCACAGTTATGTCTGCCAGTACAACTACCCTTCGGTATCCAGGATACATGAACAATGACCTCGTGGGGCTCGTTGCATCCTTGATTCCAACACCCAGATGTCATTTTCTCATGACAGGATACACACCTCTAACTGTCGAACGGCAGGTATATTTCTCCTACTGCCCTCTAGACAGCCACTTTATAAGGATCTCTTAGAATGTTTTATGTCGTTTTGGAAGACCCTTAAGAACTAAGGAGAATTCTGATGAAGGATGAGAATTTCATCTTGGAGGTTATATTACGGACAGGCTTTGACTGCTAGAATACATGGTGGTTTAAATGGCAACTGAAGAAGCAGAAGTCAGTGTTAAAGAAAAAGAATCAAGAATCAGAGAGTGTTCGTTTGCTTGAATGCAATGGCAGAGCTAGCTACATTTACCAGTTCGTTGCCTTGGTAAGCTTTCTTCATTTCCTAGGTCGTCTGCTTGTAGGCAGGATTAGAAAAAAGTTCTCTATCCTTTCTATTTCTACGGCCTTCAAGAACAATCTCGGTGGTTTTCGCAGGCAAACGCAATTCGTAAAACTACTGTTCTTGATGTCATGAGGAGGCTTCTACAAGTATGCTATTCTGGTTTCTCTCACATTTTATACTGTTCCCTGTACAAGATTCTTTAAACTCGCTTGTTCCGTATGGAATATGATTTCCCGCAATCCTTTGTGTGAGCTTCTTTTCCGTAACATGGAGTGTGTATAAAGTACATTCGTCTCGCCCTTTTCAATTGCAGGCCAAGAACATCATGGTTTCCTCGTATGCTCGTACCAAGGACGCCAGTCAAGCGAAATATATATCAATACTGAATATTATCCAGGGAGAAGTGGACCCAACCCAGGTAAGGGACGACTGTGCCTGGCTGCTGCCTTGAGATAGCTCTCTTTTCTGAATTTTTTGTTATCAACGTTACGCTATGTATTGCGATTATTACAGTAGCTTTCATGGGATCCAGCAGTTTGCAGGATCGATAGTTTTTAGTTCAGAAATCAGCAAAGCAGCCATGATCATGTAAACTGCTTTTGGAATCGCTTGGCAGGTACATAAAAGTCTTCAAAGAATCCGAGAAAGAAAACTTGCAAATTTTATTGAGTGGGGACCAGCCAGTATCCAGGTATGTTTTACTTGTTGCTTGAAATCAGTTAATTTCTCTGAATGGAAATGGTGTTATCATCTTTGTCCATTAATGACGATTGCATCCCTGGCCTTGCAGGTAGCTTTGTCAAGAAAATCCCCTTACGTGCAAACAGCCCATAGAGTAAGTTTCTCTCACTCAAACAAATTAAACCTAAATCATTTGAAGAAAGTTATTGTTGAGATTCGCAAAACCATGGAATATGGATCCCACACTCTATTGGAAAAGCTCAAAGTTGTTGTCTTGAACGCAGGTCAGTGGTCTCATGTTGGCCAGCCATACAAGTATCCGGCATCTCTTTAGCAAATGCATCAGTCAGTATGAGAAGCTCCGAAAGAAGCAGGCGTTTTTGGACAATTATCGCAAGTTCCCAATGTTTGCTGTAAGTTCAGACAAACCTATAGTATCAAAGGATGTGCTTTCCGGGCAAATAGATTAGCCCACCTTTGCGGAAGTAAGGAAGGTTTGGGTCTTCGGTCATCACGTCAAGACCGGAAAACTCTAATAAGTTCAGTATGGCTGGGTATATATTTCAGGATGTGAAGGAAGTTGTCTTGTGATTGGTTTTACTTGGTCGATCTTTGCCTTAAGAGCTTTAACGTTCAACTGCATCTTTGCTATCTTGGCTGGAGTCACCTCGAATTGCAATTTGTAATCATAGCTGAGATGAGTATTTTGGCGCTTGCAGGACAACGACTTGTCAGAGTTTGACGAATCAAGAGAGATTGTGCAAAATCTTGTTGATGAGTACAAAGCTTGCGAGTCCGCAGATTATATAAAGTGGGGCATGGAGGTATATTACTAGTGGCTGGTCGAGTTGAATATCTAGTGTTATAATTCGTTCTTGTCATTACAGATGCAAGTGCTTGTGATAACGGCTTTGAGGATTTTTGTTAATTGCAATGACTTGACTATATCAGGATCGCTCCAAGGCCATGACTGGAGAAGGAAATGCTACTGGCTCCTTGGATTCAAGAGCGCCCCTTCTGTAGATTTTCCGGAAGCTGCGCAATCACCGGCTCAATAGGAAGGTAGGAACTCTTTCTCTTTATTCCCTCTTATCGTTAATAACCAACGGACCGCTGTTTGTGGCGTCATGTTTAGAAATTTTGTTGTTGTCTTTTGGGTTGACCTGGTATACAGATAACACATAATAGTGTTATGAGAATGTGTAGGTTGACCTCTGACATCTTGATGCTTACATGAGCTTTCGTACTCTGAGCCGGAGGGTAGAAAATTCTAGCAGCCTGATGACGTTCTTGATAGATTGAATTAACTGAAGTATCGACTCTTGGGCTCCTGACAGCTGCAGGTGCTTGTACATAATAGAGACGAGGCTACCATGACACCGCCACACAGTGCTGATGGCATGAGCTCCAAGTATCTGTTATTTTGGAAGCTCTTTCTCAAAGCATCTCATTTATTCAGTATTTCTATCGTGTATGAGTGAAATTTCTTTCACGTTGAGGCCCAAGTGCTCACCTGCCATCATTTTACTCGATATGACTGTGTGCTTGCAGCTGGTTGTGTGAACTGGGTCTCTGTGAATGTGCGCTGTTGACAATGAATTTGCAGTTTGGTGCAAGGCTAAAGTTTACGCGTTGTCTTTAGGCTTCTTTGCGCGGAATTTTTGAAGCTTTATATTCATGCTTAATTGTGTATCGTTGATTGGTTCATTCTTTACTTATCCAAGTGGTCTCCCCTCTTATTAGCCTCGAAAAACTTCCTATTATAGTCTCTAGCTTCCAAAGAGCTTGATCTGATAATGTTCGATGGAAGAACCTTTGGATTGATGTCACCGTAGAATGGCTGGATTTTTAATTGGTCTGTGGATTGGTTTAGTTCGTACATGAGTTCTGTTGCTAACACGGTTTTATAATCAGTGGATGTTGATACACTATTGATGAAGCTCCGTTGTGCACGTTTCGTATTTGGAAGTGACTCTGAAAGCGGATGAAACATTGCCTCATATGTAAAAGGCTGTCCGTTACAGTAGAGTTGTATTTTACTAAGTACAGATTTTGAGCAGAATCATTAGAATTTATCGTCGCTATATTATTGAGTCGGTCAACCTCATTTCAGTTTGTCTTACGAGCGGGTATTTATAGATCAAATACTTCTGAAACTTTTTCAGTGTCCTACGTTTTGTTCGTCCATAAAGCTTTTGCTTTCCTCATTGCTGTCTTCACACTCGGATAAGGCTGTCCGTTACAGTAGAGTTGTTTTCTACCGAGCACAGATTTTGAGTAGAATCACTAGAATTTATCATCGCTATATTATTGAGTCGGTCAACCTCACTTCAGTTTGTCTTACGAGCGTGTATTTATAGATCAAATACTTCTGAAACTTTTTCAATGTCCGACGTTTTGTTCGTCCGTAAAGCTTTTGCTTTCGTCATTGCTGTCTTCATACTCGGGTAAGAAGACTGCGCCACGGTCTCGAAAGTAAAATTTTCAGTTTGAGCCTTGGTACATTACTGGGATCGGTAAATCTCTGAGTGATGTGTTGTATATTGTTAAGGGTTTTTGCTTCTACTAGGGATATTTCTGTTTTCGGGTCAGATATGCAATGTAAGACATAGCTATGCAAATTACATCATGTCTCCACTCAGTCAGAACAGAACTGTTATTACAGCTAGATCACTGAATGTGACTTACAGCCGAAGATGGTCTAACACCTATTACATCATAAACACGAGCCATTGCCGTAAATTGTTGTAGAAGCTATAGTACCTACTGGTTAGTTAAATGATTAGATGATGTATTGGGCTCGAACGACTGTGTCATTCAAAATTGTTCTCGATTTTTACCCTAAGTTTCTTGACCTAAACAAGAAGTAACAGAACAGAAAAGATGAGAACACCCTCTCCGAGTGGTGCATGGATAAATTAAAACGCAAAACATTGTACCAAGATCCAGTGGGGTATGACAAACCCAATGTAGAATAAGGAATGGATTGAACCCAGTCAAAGCAAATCTGTTCCCACTACAAACGACTATCTCTCGGAAGATAACAAGTGACAGTCGTCAATCGTACTGGGACATAGTACACAATAATAGCGTATATCCTTATCCCTCTGGAAATCCCCACCAAACCTCAGCGAACGTATATTGTGGGTGTGAGTCTCAGACTGCCTATTTACAGTAAGATAATCTTGGAAACTACAAATTTGGGACTCGATTAGTTGTCTGTACCGCGCTGTAAACTCAATCCATCAAATTATTTTGGTTATTAGGCTGCAAAGGAGGGAACCCGAGTACTGTGTAGATGAAGTTTAAACCTTAGAATTGCCGGAATTAAAGCTCGACAGCGCTCCCAAGGGCTCACTCCCTCGTGAGCATATCTTGGAAACTTTAAAGAACAAGGCATGGGGATGGTGTGCTCAGCCAAGTCCAGTCTGTTGAAAGATGAGACACTATAGTATTTACACGTGAAAATTGGACTACAGGTATTTTATAATCATGGAGTTCGTTGACCTTGAGAGTATTGTGTCCGGCAGAGCAGTACAATATGATGACAGTATCAAGGCAACCATCTTTCGGATATGCCTCTTGAGTAGGTAACTATTTTTAAAACGTGCCCGGGTCGCCCCACTTTCTCGTTTCAACGAGATTGAATTCCAGTTCCGACCCTGACCACGTTGTCAAAGTTGTACATGGATGGATCATATGCCGCCTTGTGTGCACGAGGGTCGTTGGAAAGTCATGGGTGAATCAGGCAGCAGTCAGTGCGCTATATGACTATTCTGACCTGTTTCGATCTCCGTGTAGATCTTGTGCAGCGATGTGAAGGTATATTCTCTTTCCAAAAGGGACAAGTGGACGTATTGTTATTTGCTGTTTTTTATTACTTCATGCACTACTTTAAGGAAGTCCCAACCTTCCGACAAAGTTTTCAAGATATGAGCTTCGAATGTTCAGGACTACTTGCTCACACCACTCTCAAGCATGATGAGCAAATCAAAATATCTGCTGCACAAGGCTGAAAAATAAAATATGGACGTAGCGAGGACACCATTTACCCAACAATTGGTAGTCCATTAAGCCTTGATAGTTGACCTACGCAGATGACGGATCTGTCTATTGTGGTCGCAACCAATCATCATCTCGAGGCAAATTCTTAAAATGTTTCAGACACAGAACTCCCAGAGATTCCCAGAATTCACAGGAAAGATTATTGTGAGACTTTCAAGCTTGGTCAGGTGTAAGACCATTTAATTGTTTGGCTAAATCATCGAATTTTACTGGAGGGTGAAACGTTATTTGTATGCAATACGATAAACCCAAGCTGCAACAGGATTTTTACTCCGATTAATCCGACAACAGCAACGTACTGGTATAAGAGACGATACTTTAGTAGAGTTGTGAGTACATTGGTCTTCCATTGATTTTGATATAATATATCTCCAAGTTCTTAGAGAAATGTCAAAATCAAAATTTTAAATGTTTAAGTTTATTAGTGGAACTTTTTTGAATCTAGTTAGGCAGCTAATTTAAATAGATTATATTAAGGCTAGTGGTCAACACTATGCAAAATTTATGGTTGGAGATCTTTGTGACATTTTTAATTCATCTTTAGTAAAACTAAAGTATTTCTCATTTATTGGTTTGTTTCAACCAGCTTTTGGAGTTGAAAAACATAATATTTTAACAATTTTGTGTCGAATTATTTTTATTGCAATTTTTTTCGTGATTGTGGAAATCTATATAATATTAAGTTAATAAATTATGATTAATTTTTAATATTTTTTGTTTGAAATTAATACAAAGAAAAAATAATTTAATCTGAATAAAAGCATATATTTTTATTTCAGAATATAATTTTATTCCACTAAATGTATTCAAAATCATTTATAGTATTCTGCCACTTAAGTTTGCATTATATTTCCAAAAAAATAGAAATCACCTCTATTTACTTCAACATCTCATGGATTGTCACATATTTTGAAGATTTTTACATTTGGATTTTATAATAACATTCCGGACTTTACTTTGAAACAATTCAAACCAAGTTCTAATATCATCAAAATTTCTTCAAACTCTTATGGAACTTCAGAGTATACTCAAATCCTTTAAAAATAAGAGAGATTTGCTTGATGGGACCCATGCGGAAAGTAATTTGCTTGATGGTACACTTCAGGTTTCATTTTACCCGATGGGACCCCATGAACGATGCACCGTCATCCATGTTCTAATAACAACTAGAGAGAGTGCAACGAGTCCACAGCACCCGCAGACAGAGTAGACTTCGCACTCCATCACACTCACTTGTTTTTATGTTGTCATTCTGTATCCGGCCACTCTCCAAGGAGAGGAGCAAAGAAATGTTCATCCGGAGTTTATTTGTTCGTCACAAATGGGTGATCGTGAGACTTGAGCAGGGTTACGGAAGGAGTGTGCAGGTGGGAGGCAATAGAGAAATCCGCGAATCTTTGAGGTGGGAAGAATTGAAGCACAACAAATTGCACTTCGAGCAAAATAGATCTTTGTCCCCGTGATAATCCACCAGAAATTATAATCAGGGATTGATCTCTGATTGTAATTTCGGCATTGTAACTAGTAGTAATCGTAGTTACAAGAACTATGTCCGACGGCACACCGTCGTTGGGGTCCCATCGGGTAAAACTAAATCTGAGGGGTCCCATCAAGCAAATTACTTTCCGCAGGGGTCCCATCAAGCAAATCTCCCTTAAAAATAACAATGCTTTCAACACACAAATCTAACTCTTTAGAGGTAAGAATGTCATTATCATTATCATCTTCCAGAATATTTTTCAAAAATCTTCATACTTTTCAAAAATTTTCAACGTTTTCCAAAATTGCAGCTGCTAATAATTTACTGTTTTCATTGTTGACATGAATAACTTCTTCAAGCTCTTCTTGCCCAACAGACACATTTAAAGATGCAATAGGTACAATTTTGGAAACTAAATACTTTATCTTGTTCACTGTAATATTTCCGTATCATTTTGAGCAATAGAATCTTCAGCTCCCTCTCCATGAAGCATCATGTTTTGCAACACTCGGCGCAATTTGAATCAACTAAACCATTGCCAAGATGACTTGACATCCGTTTCTAAATTGATAAACTTGATGCAATACTTTTTGATTTTGACATGGCCAGAGATGGAAGAATAGAAAAGTTGGCACGAAGCATACATATGTATACAAATTTACATATGTAAAACATGTCTTTAAGTTTGATTAAAACAAACAGCGGAATTATCAAAAAGTCTTCTCATTAACTTCATCACAAATTAAATGCAGATCTTTCTAATATTTGCTACGGCTTGTTTTAGATATTTCTAATAGCTGCTTCACTACTATCGTTATGTATGCGTTAGAAATCAAATTGTGGACTTTTGAAAATTTAAAACATCATAAATACATATTTTGTCCATTTTTATCATCTTACTCTGCTACTAGCTGAGTGAGAAATTTAGTGCGAAATTTCACAAATTTTCAGAAGTTTAAAACATCTTAAATACATATTTTTTCCATCTTTATCATGTTCCTCTGCTACTAGCCGAGTGAGAAATTTACTGCGGAATTTCACAAATTTTCAGAAGTTTAAAACATCTTAAATACATATTTTTTCCATCTTTATCATGTTACTCTGCTACTAGCCGAGTGAGAAATTTACTGCGGAATTTCACAAATTTTCAGAAGTTTAAAACATCTTAAACACATATTTGTATTTTTATCATTTTAAGCTGCTACAATGTTCGTGCACGGGCGAAACAACCGCACAGAATCTAGAAATACATTTTATTTGAATCATTTGACAAATATATGTTCCTTATGGATGTCTCAGCAGGTCGCAAGAAAGTATATCACTGTACACCATATGACTATAAGTCGGATAAAAGACGTCTTAAATGATACCGTCTTCATTTCACACCTTTTTAAGATGGTTTAAATGTGTCCATATTATTGCTAACAAAAAACGTACGCATCCAAAGAGGTTTTATTGGTAACATTCATTTTCATTAGGTTCTCTATGTTATACCATCACTAAGATTCATTAAGACGTTTCTTGTTAGATTTTTTCTCGACATTGCACCTGAACCAAACGATTAGGAATTGATTACTCTTAAAGTACCCGGCTAGGTATGCAAAAGCCTTCTAGGTTCAAGGTGCATATTTAGACGGTAGACTATTGTACTTGTTTTGATCAATATTCATGTATTTTCATTTGATGAAACGATGAAGATATTTCGAATGAAGCTTTTCCGAGACACTTGATGACTTCACTACATTTGTTTATGTATATATAGGGAGGGGTTTATACTTAAATTTTATAAAATAGAATTCTATTTATAATAATGATATATCATATAATTAACAGATCTGTCAAGGATTGCAAAAAATATATGGTTTAAATAATTTTTATACTCTTTCACAATATTCTTCATTCCTAATCATTTTTAAAGGATAATAATCAATCATGGACTGAAATATCCGAAATAAAGTAAAGTGCTCAAAATTTGATGAGTGATATGAATGGAAATTCTTGGAAGGACCTTCATATCCGTTTATCCAGTGCAGTTGCAATCTGCACTGACGATGGTGACGGTGCAAAGGATGTTACAGAGACATGAAGCCGGGAAGGTCGCACCGAATTAAAAAATTTGGGAAATCTTAAAGCCACCGAGTAAACACCGCCGAATTTACACTGAGGGGCATAACATTAAATATCGTGCTGTGCATGCATGTTCCGGGTCGACACGATGCTCCGCCGTCGAGATTCTTTCCGAGAGAAAGAGAGAGAGAGAGATGAGATGCGCAATTGAGGAAGGACGATCGATCGATCGATCGAATCCCGTCAAGAAAACAGGCCTCTGCTTTGTAGCCTGTGACCTCAAGCCGAGCCAGTCCAAATGTCCTTTTTGACCTCAAAAGCTGACTCCAATAATCCGGTTCTACTGCGTGAGATGGACTCTTATGCGACACCAGCTGAATCAGAGGACTTCTTTGACTCGACTCTCCGCCCGGCCCAGCTCAAGGGAGGTCTTTGTTATCCTGGATTTCTCAGAATTTCTCAGGCGGTCCATGGCGTCTCGTTGCGTCGAGTCGAGTCTATGTGCAGAGTACTGCAGTCGACTGACCACTGACGGTGGGGCCAAGCCTTGGAATAAAAAAGCATAATTCTTCCCTGCTGCCCTCGAGCCCGGTGGTGGCAGGAGCTTCAGATGAGCAGATCGAGCGCAACGACATCGAGTATTCTAGTATTTCGAGGCGGATAGAGTTCTGTTTTATAAGACGTGGTCGCCAACTCACCGCTCTTTCTCGCTTGCTCAAGCACAGCGTGCCTGATGGAGAATGAGCCGGATCGGTCTTCTGGGCCTCGGCCTTATTGACGTCTGATAAAAATTTGGCGATTTTCCTCGCGACCAGCATTCTGAGATCGATCTGCTGCTACTCCTGGGTGAGCTAGAAGTTCTGAAGTTCTGCTGTGTCTACACGAAGGACTCATGGCTTCCCCCTTAGCAGCACGGTGGAAACTGCTCAATTGTCTGCGGATGGTATACGATCTCGAGTGCGCTGTGGAATCTTCTTGTACGTTCAGTGTCCCACTGTTGGCTGGAATATCGGAATGTTCAGACTATTTAATCGCTGGGCGATGCGGACTTGCGTGGAGACGTCAACTCCTGAAACCGAGTCAAATAAATGGGCATAAATGTATTCACGAGGCTCCTTTGGGAAAACTGAAGTGAAAAGTAAGCCCAACTTGGTGCCATGCACAAATCCATAGCTTACTTTCTCGTGGACCGCCTCCAAAATCAACGAAATGTACCTCAACCGTGGCGGCTTTCTTTCTCAGAGTCTGCACACGCGAGCTGATCCGACCACTTTCCGCAGTCACGCACTCACGAGGAGAAATAAAGTGGTGCAAGTAGGCACACCGCGACCGGGCAGCATAGAAGAAGCCTCCCTGCAGGTGGGTCAGCAGCATCAGCAGCAGCGACATTTTGGGCTGGAGGTCGTACGTAGTGTGCACACAGCCGCTGTCGCAGGAAGTTCGGAGAAGCGGAGCAAAAGGTTGTTGAGGACAAAAAGTTGATATCAGGCGCTCGATGCAGTCAACGAGCTGTCCCATAGCCGAAGTTTAAGGCTCGGTCTTCAGAGCAAGAACTCATAGGCGCATTCTCTCTAGCACTCCCTCTCTCTCTCCCCCTCTCTCTGCCTTTCACATGAAACTTTTAAGCAACAAATTTGACAAGCCCGTGGCCACATAGCTGCGACAGCGAGAGAGCGGTAGTGAGATTTCACAAGGAGGTTCTTCTCCTTTCTCAGTCACTGAATGCCCGGCATGGCAGACGATGGTGTAGTGGGTGTTCATGACATCATAAGCAGTACAGCCAATACTCCACGAGTCTCTTTCGCTGGAGATAATACGTCTGTTGGAAAATCCAGCATTCGAAAGGCGAGCAGCCGTTCAGGATTGCGTCGTATTGACTCCTTGGAGGCGGAAGCAAGTAGAGTCAAATCCATGGAAACACACCACGGGGTGAGTCACCTCATGCTCACACACGCTGCTAGTGATCGAGAGTATCCATGATAAGACGTGATGGGCGAGACCTCGATGGAATGCGAGACTCGGTTAGAAATTTCGAGATTGTTGTTGATCTATTATATACTCTGGGTCTCGACTTCCTGCCATTCAATCACACGAATGCATGCTCTTCATGCTCAGCTGGGGTGCTCTTATAAGCCGGTCACATTTTGGTTCAGATGAGTGTCCTTCGGGCAATAGAATCACATCGTCTGTCGAGGTTGAGTTCTTTCAAGTGATCTTGGACCTGAATTACAGCTCTCAGCCAAGACTCGTCACGTCTGCACGATACGTGAAATTTTGACCTCTGGAGTCTGATCGTTATAATGTGTTACACGTCTGCGTGCTTGGGTTATGTTTTTCTCCCAAGTGCCACCTTCACTTCAACTCTTTCAGCCGTCTCGAACGACTGGGTGAGACCACCAATTAAGTGAAAATCACAACTTGAACTGTCGTGAACTTGGGATTATTCACATTTACCGCAGAATATCCTCCAAGCAGAGCGTAACTTCTTAATATTTCCTATAGAAATTGCACAATTTGCCACGAATTGCGCACAAACTGGATCTCTCCTCGTGCCTGTTTTGATCAATTCGGCACACTAGATGTAGTCGCTATCAAACTCGCTTGCATTTTTTTCTCGAGACCGAGGACAAATCTTCAAGTAGCGGGTGAAATACAGACTCCAGATGTCGGATGACACACCCGGCCATGAAAAATGCGGGAAAAGCCCACCTCGGACGAATTCCAGTAACCTGATCGACTGAGTTCCTTATGGTTTGATTTAGTCTATCACTGATTTGACTGTGATATAAACTGGACAGCATGGACGCGAATCAAACTCCTCGACTGCCTGTACTGTACTTGTGTACTCACTCGCTCTGAACCTTAAATTTGTATGTTTTCTTGAGTCTTGACATTTTTGAGCTGACAACTGAGGAATCTTACCCACGTCATACGGGGCTGAAACTCCACGGTTTTTGCAGAATCAAAATCTACCGCTGTCGGTCACTCTCACATTGGCTTATCAAACGATCGGTGTAGTCTACGGAGATCTGGGCACTTCTCCTCTCTACGTGTTCGCGAGTACATTCCCAGATCGTGTACCATCAGAAAAGGACATTTTGGGAGCCTTGTCTCTGATCCTCTACACGTTCACCCTCATTCCTCTTATCAAATACGTCTTCATCGTCCTGCGTGCGAATGATCATGGAAATGGTGAGTCTTCCACGTGTGAGCCGAGGATGAACGCTCCAGAGTGGTCTGATTTCAGAACCGACGATGATTAGATAAATATGATTCGGTGTTGGACTCTTTCTTGTTACTCGCAATTCACAACTCAAGACGGACGGTGAATCGGTGCACCTTGCAGGTGGAACGTTCGCCTTGTACTCTCTGGTCTCCCGGTTCGCCAGAATTTCGGTGTCACCGAATCAGGTGCCAGAAGATCAGGAAGTCTCATCCTACAAACTGTCGACGCCCACCGACAGCATGAAGCGCTCTCAGAAGCTCAAAGAGGCACTTCAAAACCACCGGTGGCTCCGAACACTAATCGTGACAGTAGCTATCTTGGGGACATGTATGGTGATCGGAGATGGTGTGCTTACTCCATCCATTTCTGGTAAGCGCCGATATGCGTGATGCTACAAGGATGAAGCAGATTGGTTGCTGAAACCATCGCGTCAGAAATTTGCAGCTACATTTGTTAATTAAATTAGTCACATCATCACCGAGATCAGATCAAGGGACACAAGTTTTCAAATTCCAACTGTGAAACTAGTTATGTGCCGGCTGTGAACTAATACGAAGATTGTTGCAAACTTGGCAGTGCTTTCTGCGATTCAGGGGATCAAGGTCAACCAACCAAGTTTGGATCAAAGTAAGTGCTGTTCGAGGGCATACAGCAGGTTGAAGAACCTTTTTTCTGGCAGTTTTACGATGAGATCAAGGCAGAAACGTATTAACAAGGGAATTTCACGTTTCGAGGCATGGCATTAGCTGCGAGCACGGAAGGTTCTGATCCTGTTGTGAATGGCTGGCTATGTTCTGCGCAGACGTAATTGTCGTCATCACCTGCGTCATCCTGTTTGCTTTGTTCAACATCCAGCGATTCGGGACGGACAAAGTCGGCTACTTGTTTTCGCCCGTCGTTCTCGTGTGGTTCATATCGATCGCTCTGATTGGAATATACAACATCATCAAACAAGATCCGAGTGTATTTCGGGCCCTCAACCCCTATCACATGTACGAGTATATGTCAAGGAACAAGAAGCAGGGATGGATTTCCCTCGGAGGGATTGTGCTTTGCGTTACTGGTTTGTGCTTTCCGGGCTTGACCTCCGATTGATCTGCTTCATGAAGATTTTTCACAATTAGAATCTTTTGGGCATTTACGAACTAGAGGCATATAAACCCCGAAGCATATCTTGCAAGCTTTTCAAAAGCTAGTTAATCCACTTATGAGATTGAGCCTAAAAAGTAGCATTCTGGTCGATGTGCAGGAACTGAGGCGATGTTTGCTGACCTGGGTCACTTCTCGGTCAAGTCGATCCAGGTATACCCATTTCTAGAAACTCGAAGCTTTGCTTGTCAATTAGGCTTACTTCTCTGTACGTCGGTCAGCAGGATGTCAAATTCGATGGTAGATTCGAGTGAAAAAATTCTACCATCGAATTCTACCATCTTTTTTAAATTCCTGAACCAAAATTCATGTTCGGTGCAGATCGCATTCACGACCCTGGTCTACCCCTGCCTTGTGGCAGCTTACACCGGCCAAGCGGCTTACTTGCTGAAGCATCCAGAAGACGTGTCAGAAACCTTCTACAATTCTATACCAGGCAAGCTTGATTCTTTCTCTGCAACTGCAGCAAGTTTCACGTCACAGGCTGTCGAAAATTGCTAGGTGCTTATCAACTGATCGAGACGCGTGTGCACTGACATATGTGCAGAGCCAGTTTACTGGCCCATGTTCGTGGTGGCCACCGGTGCGGCTATCATTGCCAGTCAAGCCATGATTTCTGCGACGTTCTCCATTGTGGACCAGGCCATGACTCTGAGTTGTTTCCCTCGCGTCAAAGTGGTCCACACGAGCAAAAAATACGCCGGGCAAATCTACATCCCTGAGCTGAATTGGCTCATGATGGTCCTCTGCATCATCATCGCAGCTGGTTTCAGAGACACAACTCAAATCGGAAATGCTTACGGTGAGTCCACAGAATCAGGCTTTGTATCCATTCTCACTGATTCTAATGCAGATGGTAGGTGACTGATTTCAATTAAATGCTGAGCAAATGAGCTATCTGAGATTTCCATTCGAGCATGTCAAGATCAATTCCTGGGTGTAGGTTTCAGAATCCATCGAATGTCTCAGGAGATATCCTGAGGAGGAAAGGAAAGCCTGACGCAACGTGGTGCATGATGCATGGCTTGCAGGAGTGGCTGTGGTCTCGGTGTTCTTCGTCACGACCAACTTCGTCACTCTGATCGCCATCATGATATGGCAAGTGCCGCTCTGGATAGCCCTCCCCTGCTACGCGCTCGAGGGCTCGGTGGAGCTGACGTACTTCTCGTCGATTCTGTACAAGGTGCCGAAGGGCGGGTGGGTGCCACTGCTCTTCGTGGCGGTCTTCTTCACGGTCATGTACACGTGGCACTACGGGAGGGTGAAGAAGTACGAGTACGAGGTGAAGAACAAGGTGTCGCTGGATTGGGTGCTCGGGCTCGGATCCAACCTCGGCATCACGCGAGTGCCCGGAATCGGCCTCGTGTACTCGGAGCTGGCGCAGGGCGTGCCCACCATTTTCTCGCATCTGATCAGCAACCTCCCGGCCATGCACCAGATTCTCGTCTTCGTGTGCATAAAAAATCTCCCGGTGCCCAATGTTCCGGACGAGGAGCGATTTCTGATCCGTCGAGTCGGCCCCAAGAACTTTCGCATTTTCCGCTGCGCCGTGAGGTTCGGGTACAGAGACCTTCACGGCAGAAACGATGTGGAGTTCGAAGAGCAACTCATTCATGCTCTGAGCAACTTCATCAAAACGGAGGTGCCGGCGGGATCGGACGCCCCGCCGCTTCATCATCAAGTGATCGACGCAGATTGGGCGATCGAGGGAGATGTTCCCGCCTCTGCCATCGCCGAAGCTGCCAGAACGCTATCTCGTGGCAGCCTGGACATTTCGGAAGAGTCGATCTCGCAGACGGGGATTCGGCCCATGGATTTCAGACGGGCCGTCAGCGTGGAGCCTCCCGTGGAAGATGAGCTCGACGTATTGGATGCCTCGAAGCACGCGGGAGTAGTCTACCTCCTCGGTCACACCGACATCCGATCCCACAAAAAATCCTCCAAGTTCCGCAAGTTCCTGATCGATCACTACTACCATGCGCTCAAAAGGAACTGCCGAGCCTCGACGATTTCTCTCAACATCCCCCACGAGAGGCTCCTCCAGGTAGGCATGATCCATTACATTTAGATCCAGGATTCCATCTTCGTACACGCGGGCCTGCTTCCGATGCTGCCACCGCAGGCTCCAAACAGCGCTCAGAACCCGCCAGCCATTCACTCTAGAGCTAGTTTTCTCGAGCCCATTTCGATGAGTGATCGAGTGCGTCTCAGATGTACAGATTCGCATTCAGAACGTGCCCCCAGCTTTGCTCGTCTTGTACTCTCTCGAATACAACACGCGGCCGCTTCAGCTTCGAACTCCGTTAGAGGAAGTGAAGTGAATCGATCGATTTTCCTCGGTCACTGAATTGGGCAGCGCATCCTTCCATCAAATCTTAGCAGAAAATTCCATAATCGCGCTGAATAATCGAGCTTAAGGTTGTTAAGCGCGATTTCTGTAAATTCATTTAGTGTCGGTACCATTGCTTACCAGTCTGCGGCAGTTCAGCGAGTCATAGCTCTTAGCGCACGATGATCATACGAAACCGTGTTCACCCGCATTCTCTCATGGTAACTTCAAGACCACATACTATGTTTTAGTACAGTGGTTGTACTTTTGGATTATATTTTCAGTAACTCTGTTTGATTTCCATAAGAAACCTTTGACCGAATTTGATCTCTACTCCAGTCACTATCCCCCAGTCTTTTAAGACAAAATGTCGGCCAATGATTTATACCAAATACAGAATTCAATATCAAGATCTTGATATTGATTTTTCTGGGAAAGTTGGCTGTTTATGAAATTTGGAAGTTATTGTACAAGCATTTGCTTAAAGTGGAATCGGACTTGTGCATCTGAAATTACTACGGGTAGTTCTAAGATTCTAGGCAAGACGCTGTCAAAACCATCATAAAGAACAACGCTCGAAGACACAACCATCATTGCAACATCGCGATCTGAGGTATGTACTTTAGTGCCAAACATAGATTGTATTCTTCGAGAAATGAGAAGATTATATGTGGAAGCTTTGCTGGAATTACACATGTTGACAACTTTGTGCAAGGATGTGGACAAAGTACAACAATCTGATTTGTTGCCGAGGTAATAGGAGGGTAATTGAGATGATCTGGTATTATGTGCCAACACTGGAGATAGTTGTAAACCATATTAGAAGAATTGTGATTTCATTAGATAGACACAATAATTCACCACAACATAGAGAAAATTACTTGATGTATGTAACACATAGAGACATTTTGTCCCATGGTAAATATAGTAGATCATCAACCATGATCCAATATGAGTTTGTTATATTCTGAAATAATTCTTGTAATTGTCATCAACCATGTTTCAATATGAGTTTTTGTAAAGTGATAATTTGTTGCTATAGTGTGAAATAATTATTGTAATCATCATCTTACATGTTCCAATATGAGTTTTTGTAAAGTGATAATTTATTGTTATAGTGTGAGATAATTATTGTAATAATCATCTTCCATGTTCCAATATGAGTTTTTGTAAAGCGATAATTTGTTATTATAGTGTGAAATAATAATGTAATCATCGTCATCCATGTTCCAATATGAGTTTTTGTAAAGTGATAATTTGTTGCTATAGTGTGAAATGATAATGTAATCATCGTCATCCATGTTCCGATATGAGTTTTTGTAAAGTGATAATTTGTTGCTATAGTGTGAAATGATAATGTAATCATCGTCATCCATGTTCCGATATGAGTTTTTGTAAAGTGATAATTTGTTGCTATAGTGTGAAATGATAATGTAATCATCATCATCCATGTTCAAATATGAGTTTTTGTAAAGTGATAATTTGTTGCTATAGTGTGAAATGATAATGTAATCATCATCATCCATGTTCAAATATGAGTTCTTGTAAAGTGATAATTTGTTGCTATAGTGTGAAATGATAATGTAATCATCATCATCCATGTTCAAATATGAGTTCTTGTAAAGTGATAATTTGTTGCTATAGTGTGAAATGATAATGTAATCATCATCATCCATGTTGCAATATGAGTTTTTGTAAAGTGATAATTTGTTGCTATAGTGTGAAATGATAATGTAATCATCATCATCCATGTTGCAATATGAGTTTTTGTAAAGTGATAATTTGTTGCTATAGTGTAAAATAATCCTATAATCATCATCATCCATGTTCCAATATGAGGTTTTGTAAATTGATAATTTGTTGCTATAGTGTGAAATAATAATGTAATCATCATCATCCATGTTCAAATATGAGTTTTTGTAAAGTGATAATTTGTTGCTATAGTGTGAAATGATGATGTAATCATCATCATCCATGTTCAAATATGAGTTTTTGTAAAGTGATAATTTGTTGCTATAGTGTGAAATGATAATGTAATCATCATCATCCATGTTCCAATATGAGGTCTTGTAAACTGATAATTTGCTACTATGGTGTGAGATAATTCTTGTAGACCGATAATTTGCTTACATAGTGTGGGGAAATATTGTACATATCATATCAAAATACATCCACGAGAGTACTTTGTCCATGAATCTAAAGTGTGAAGTGAGATTGTCTTGACGAATTGCAATTCAAGATTGCCACAAAATTCACAACTAACCGACAAGATGAGCTTGCCGTGACTACACCCGAAGTCACAAATCTTTGCATTTACTCCGTTTTTGTAACAGTAGGATTCAAAGAGAAGTTTATTTGAAGATAGAAACATAATCTCTGAAGATGATAGATACCAACAATATTTCTCTTTTCCCTTATATAGCTCTCACCAACAAGTACAAGGAGATAAGATCTTATACACTCCATCAATGTCACTCATAGTGAATAGATGATATGACGAATAACTCTAACAAGCACAAGGATCACTGACGTGACGTTGTCAACTATCACACATACTCTCTTCCTACCAAGCGCGCGGATCGCTGACGTGACAACTATGATTAGTGCATACTAAAGTATCTGTATTAACATTTAAACTAAACTCTACGTTAGTTCTAACTAACTAAAGATGGTTACAAACCTCCCTCTTTTAAGACGCAACGTACTCGTTGCACATCCATTCAAATTCTTGAACTATCAACTATGCATTAGTTAGATTTTGAGCTGGTTCCTAATTTGATTTTTATTATAGATATAGTTTCCACTGAAGTAAATACTCAACCTTAGGATATTTGTGGCATCGACGCTGTTTTTTGAAGATCTTTTCTAACTCAATTTTCTCTTGATTAACTATCAAGCTTGGTAAAGGAGGTAACTTTAGTGGATTTGTGAATTGTTTTGATCATTATACATTTTTGCCAAAAGTAAACTCGTTGGATGCTCTCAAAGATCTTTTTCACTTCCACATGACACAACTATTGCCTCATGATTTTCTAATAAAATCATTGTGCGTAACTCTTGATCTTGCAGAATCCATAAACATTGTTTGTAGAATGTCAAACCTCTAGCCTTCATTGACTTCCACCTTGTAATGTCCTTATGATCTCTTCATACTCCTTATTGCATGTGTCATCTTGTTCCACCAATCTGCTTGAATCTTCACTTTGGCAACATAATTCAAACAAGTCATGCGTGTAGCGCATTTTCAAGTTGCTTCTTGCCCTCCGCGTACACAATCTTCATGTTGAAGGTTTGACGCATGTAACCATCTTTTGTTAGTTAGAACTAAAGTGGAGATTACTCTAAATGTTGATTAGATACTTCAACGTGCACTAGTCGTAGTTGTCACGTCAGCGATCCAGTCGCTTGATAGGTAGAGAGTAGGTGTGTTAGTTGACAGTGCCACGTCAGCGATCCGTGTGCTTGTTAAAAAGAATTGAGTCTGTTAGTTAGTGTGTTAGTTGGGAGTGCCATGTCAGCGATCCGTGTGCTTGTTAAAAAGAATTGAGTCTGTTAGTTAGTGTGTTAGTTGGGAGTGCCATGTCACCGATCCGTGTGCTTGTTATGGTTATCCGCCATGTCATCCATCCACTAGTAGTGGAATGGATGGTGGGGATAAGATCTTATCTTCTTGTACTTGTTGGTGAAAGCTATATAAGGAAAGTAGAACTGTTGTTAGTATCTCTCATTCTTAGAATTTACGTTTTTATCTTGGAGTAAACTTCTCTCTAAACCCCAGTGTTACAATAGTTTCAGAGCGACATTGCTCTTTACTTGGGTGTGTATTAACCCTCATGGAATAGCAAGTGAATGATGATGGAGTGTAGTTTTGAGAGTGTATAGAGGCTGGCAGAGGTCATTGATCTGCATGTAGAGAGAGGTGGAAGGGATGAACTTGTGGTTTTGCAGATATGAACGAGCTTGACTGGAATTCAGTATAGCACTTGACAATTTCTATCCTATCCGATATTCACCTTCGTTGAATGGAAAAACATCATTTTCAGATGTACCTTGTGGCATGTTTGGGTGCAGATTTTATTACTAAAGTGATGGAGTCGAGAGCGCCACTAATTCTTTCAATAGTTACTTATGGAGAGACTTGGAATTGTACCATATACATTTTAAACTGAATGTATCATGAATTTGAATCACAAACATCCGTCCTTGTTTGATTCAACACTTATGTAGAGATTAGAACAATATACCGACAAAACATATTATGGAAAGATTTTTTTGTGAGGAATTATGGATTAGATTATTATAGAGCTGTGATAAATACACCTATATTTTTTATGGCTTCATTTTTGAAAGGTCAGATAGTGATTATATTCACTGTGTATTAGAGTGAGTGCGAGAAAACATGAGGACATCAATCGATATGAATGAGGTTTTCAACGCAATCATAGCGGAGATGAAGGAGTTGAGAAAAACAATTGTAGATGTGCATACCAAGTAGCAAGCCATGGAAGATAAAATCTTCGCATTGGAGAGTGAGAAAGTAGAAAGAGAAAAAATATTGGAAAGATGGAAGTTGAATCTCAAATTCAAGCTTCCTAAGTTTAGCCAGAATCAACTCCTATTGATATAGTAGAGTCAAATAGGAAACATATTCAAGAGATTGAAGATCAAACAAATCTTTTACTTTGAATGGAAAAATGCTATAAGGTGGAAGCTTACAATGGAAGTAGTGTACAAGTGTTAATGGATGAATAATGATGATGAATATTCATTTATACTATTTTCATGTTTCTGATTACATTGCATGAATGTTCGTGAGATCTTATCTTACGGATAAGGCTCTCACATGGTACATAATATAGAAGAGAATGGTTTCAGAACGAGGTGCTATCGTTTCGTGGAGTCAAATGCAGGAATGACTTCTGCAAAATTTTCAAGCGGTGGACTCTCTTTCAACTGCAATAATGAAGTTGTGGGATCTCAAGTAGAAAGTAGATATTTATGAATACATTGAAGAATTTCGTGGAAGTCTCTATCATGGATATGAGTGGAGCACAAACCCTTAGACGTGTTCAAACGAGGCTTGAAGGATCGAATTTGAATGAAGTTGATGTTAAGCAATCCATCTATCGTGAATGAAGCAATCGCAATTGCTCAACAAATTTTGGGTGCTTTTGGTGTCTTACACAATGAACCAGTAAGCAATTTTTGAGATCCATCTAGTTCAACATCTATGCAGTTCGGAAACCTTCGACGTAGATAAGGTTTTGTACCAACAAGAGCACCACCAGCAAGATTTAGAGGTGAGATTCAGCGACCAAGAGTTCCAAATTTGCAAGAAGGTTATGCAAATAACACAATGGTTCGAGGAGAAGC